ACCTCTCTATATATAGGTCCCTAATGTTTAGTGCCATGATAAAAATAGCAGTCACTTGAAATACTGATTCAAAGAACAGACTTGGCATGTGCTGAACAAGCCTTGGAAGAAACTGTATCCTCTTAGAGGTGACTGCTAAAGAAGTGAACTTGGATGAGATTTCCAAAGTAGAGAAAAGAAAACTAAGAGGACCTAAATATAGGTATTATTGGTGGAACATCTTCATCTAAAGAGCAGTTCCCAGAAATGCTTCTCAACTTCTTTCAGCCCTAAATACCTCACCTGTAATATGGGGATCATTACTCCTACCTCACAGGTTGCTGGAACAATTAATAAGATCGTATACATAAAGTCCCTCACACACTGTCTGGCATTCAATTAATGTTCCCTTTTGTTCCCCAAACCCAATGTGAAATCATGTTAGTTTCTTTTTTTTTTTAATACATTTTATTGATTTTTTACAGAGAGGAAGGGAGAGGGATAGAGAGTTAGAAACATCAATGAGATGCCGAAACTGGTTTGGCTCAGTGGATAGAGCATCGGCCTGCGGACTGAAGGGTCCCAGGTTTGATTCTGGTCAAGGGCATGTACATTGGTTGCGGGCACATCCCCAGTAGGAGATGTGCAGGAGGCAGCTGGTCGATGTTTCTCTCTCATTGATGTTTCTAACTCTCTATCTCTCTCCCTTCCTCTCTGTGAAAAATTCAATAAAATATATTAAAAAAAAAAAAAAAAAAGAAACATCAATGAGAGAGAAACATCGATCAGCTGCCTCCTGCACACTCCCCACTGGGGATATGCCCCCAACCAAGGTACATGCCCTTGACCAGAATCGAACCTGGGACCCTTCAGTCCGCAGGCCGATGCTCTATCCACTGAGCCAAACCGGTTAGGGCTAGAGTGTTTATTTCTTTGCAACTTCAGTAGCTGCTACAACCTGAAAAGCAACCCAACTTAGAAAAATAAAGGCTACACTTGTCAGATGTTCTCCCTAGGGAAGCCGTGGGCAAACTAAGGCCAGCAGGCCGGATCTGGCCCATTTGAAATGAATAAAACTAAAAAAAAGAAAAAGACCGTACCCTTTTATGTAATGATGTTCACTTTGAATTTATATTAGTTCACACAAACACTCCATCCATGCTTTTGTTCCGGCCCTCCGGTCCAGTTTAAGAACCCATTGTGGCCCTCCAGTTAAAAAGTTTGCCCACCCCTGCCCTAGGGCAAAGTTTTTTCTATTTCAACACTATTGTCAATTTAGGCTGGATAATTCTTTGTTATAGGGAGCTTTCTGTGCACTATAGGATGTTTAACAGCGTCCTGGAATTCCACCCACTATGTGCCAGTAGCACCTCCCATCAAAAATGACTCCATACAATGTCAAATGTCCTCTGGTTGAAAATCCCTATTCCAGAGCTAACTGAAATTTTCACAAAGGCCTAAATCCTTTTTCCCTGATCTCTACAAATATATCTCATAAATTTATTTGTTCCCCAATGACTGATCTACACATTAAACTATGCTTAAACTTTATAAATCATTCTCCTTTAAAGTCCACTGAAAGTGGTAGCTAGCCCCTGAACTGTCAAACAAGTCATCCTAGATAATGCATGCAGCCAATCACTCAGTGCTTTATCACACTGTGACACTTAAAACCAAACTAATATAATAAGAGTAGGAGCAGCCCTAGCCGGTTTGGCTCAATGGATAGAGCATTGGCCTGCAGACTGAAGGATCCCAGGTTCAATTCCGGCCAAGGGCGCATGCCTGGGTTGCAGGCTTGATCCCCAGGAGGGGGCATGCAGGAGGCAGCCAATCAATGATTCTCTCTCATCATTGATGTCTCTATCCTCTCTCCCTTCCTCTCTAAAATCAATAAAATATATTTAAAAAACAAAAAAAGTAGGAGCAGCCAATCCCAAAAGGTCTTCACACAAAATTAAGAGATTTGTCCCAATACTCAAGTGTCTAATATTTTAACTTCAAGTCTACAGGTGGCACCAAGTACATAATGTATAAAATGAGCTTCAGCTGCCTAAGGACTTTTACAAATTTGAAGTAGACATTAATGACATAAAACATATAGATATATTTAAAAATTACTTTGTATCACATGCCCACCTATTTCAACGACATAAAAAGTTATGTACGCTAACAAAAAAAAAGGAGCAAAAATAGAAAAACTGAGTTAACAATTTAGGGTTTTTGCATAAATTGCTTGAAGTTAGTAAGTATAGCATGGTAACTGAGAGTACAGACTTGGAATGAGACTACCTGGATTAAAATCCCAACCCCATTGCCGAAACCGGTTTGGCTCAGTGGATAGAGCGTCGGCCTGCGGACTGAGGGGTCCCAGGTTCGATTCCGGTCAAGGGCATGTACCTGGGTTGCGGGCACATCCCCAGTAGGAGATGTGCAGGAGGCAGCTGATCGATGTTTCTCTCTCATCGATGTTTCTCTCTATCTCTCTCCCTTCCTCTCTGTAAAAAATCAATAAAATATATTAAAAAATAAATAAATAAATAAAATAAAATCCCAACCCCATCACTTATTAGATAGGTGACTTGATAAATTACTTAACTTCTCTATGCTTGCTCGGTAAAATGGGGATAATTACGGTATCTACCTTGTAGTGTTCTTGCGGATTGAATGAGTAAAAATAGGTAAAATGCTTAAACAGTGCCTAGCACAAACATACTTAAGTATTAAACATTGTTTATCATTAGTTTTAATGAGGTATAAGCACCTTGGGTGGCTCATAAAAGTAGGTACAGTGGAGTCAAACAACAATAAACTTGCACCCACATGCTCTGGGTTCATATTTCAGTTCCTTAACTATTTCATTTGGCATCAATTTCCTCATCTGTAAAATAGGAAAGCACTTTGAAAATGATGCACGTAAGGGAAAACCTAAAAGCAGTATGTTTAGTAGGATAGTAGAGAAAAGTTGCATCTGACTTCCACTTTGGAAAAAGGAAACTTTGTGGAGGAGGTGCCTTTTAAGACAATAAGTCCTCTATTAATGGACCACATAGGGAAGCACCTGCCTTGAACCAAGGTAGGTCTGATTCAAAAGCCCTTGCTTTCTTTACTCCAGAGATTTTCAATCCTTTTTCATCTCATGGCATACATAAACTAATTACTAAAATTCTGCAGCACACCAAAAAAAAAAAAAAAAGTATACATTTGATTCATTTACACCCAGATGGCTATTGTGTTGGCTGTTGTCATTTTTTAATTTGACAATGAAAGGGAAAAGAGATCAGAGCCCCTGACTAAATAGTCAGGTATTGCATGTTTTAAAATTCTTGCAGCACACCAGTTGAAAATCGCTGCTTTACACTATAGTTTGAAAGCTTAAAAAAGAATATCCTGATTTTTTAAACGTTTATTTTCTTCATACAAGGTAAGGACACTAACCCTTTGAAGGTAGTAGAAATACATTAAAGGCTATTAACGTAAAAACACAAACAAACATTGAAACCTGTAAAGAATTTTTGTGAGTTTATTTGATCCAGGAAGCAGAACCTCAATGAATTGATATAATGCTCCGAAGAATGGGCTGGTTACATCTGTATTTATACATTGCAATTAAAGGAAAGGGACGTAGGTGGGTTACATGAAATCCATTGGTGATAGACTAGAGAGGGGGGAGAAAGCAGAGCAGGGAAACCCCTGGGATTGGATAAAAAGTAAAATGATAAGACACATACTTAGGTGGGTGCAGGAACAATTAACATGATAACAATGAAGGAATTTGTGGTATCTGTCCTGGTGCCCAGCACATTAGGTTGTGCCCCAAGGGGTCCAGAAAAAGGGAAGTTACAAGTTACCCAGACATTTCAAAGGGTATGTTCTTATACTAGTCGATGAAAAAAGACCGATAAAGGTTGACCTTGTCAGTGAAGATGCCGGCCTAGGACATGACTGCCCACCATAACTGCTTTTGGTTAAAGTTTAATTTCAGACCATCCTTTGTGGTTACTTTAAGTCTGAGTTGCAAAACTGCCATGCAGGCCTCCCCTGAGCTTGTCAGGTCAGCATATGGTCCCTTTCCTCCACAAGGCACTGGCATCGATTTGGGCCAGTACGTGCTCTTTTTTCAATTACGAATGATCCATTCTTTTAGAAGTAAATGACGTTGGAAGAAATGAGATTCCTCTTGTATAATGAGGAGTGTCCCAATAGTTTTAAATCAATTTGATATGTTTGTTTTTAATTAGAAAAACCACTGCCTTCCAATGAACATTTCAAAATCACCAAGGGCTGTGCACGCTGCACTTTATACGAAGGAATATTTAACAATTTTTTGTAAGTAAAAGTTGCAACATCAATCACACGTGAAGCAGGTGTTAGGCCCAGTACTGTCCTCACTGAAGCCAACAAATGCAGAGAAAAAAAAAGAAGAAAAAGCAGCCTTTCCTATCCGTTCAGCTAAATGCCGCTCCCACCCCCAACCCTCACCCCGCAGCCAAGCCTCGGAGGCTGGTTCTGGGTCGCTGGCAGACTGTCTGCAAAAGCGCCAGCATCCAGAGTGTGTAAGAAAAGGAAAGCCAAGTCTCCCTTTTACGAAAAACCCCCAACAATTCTGTCTTTGCCCCAGGGCAGAGCACTCGCTGGGCCTCCTCCACGTCACACCCCGGGAAAGAGGAGGCGGCGGCATGTGACTTTGCTCTGGTCCGGTTCGATCCTCCGGACTCGCAGCAGCCCAGGCGGGAGGACTCCCACGTGGCGTCCGCAGCCTGCCCACCGCCGGCTCGGCCCCCAATGCTGGCGCTCTGATTGGCCAAGGGCGGCTGGAGCCGCTCCCAGACTGGAGGCGACTCTGCCAAACGGGGCGGGCACCCGGCGAGAGGTCGCGGCCATGCGGGCTGCACCCCGAAGAGCGGCATCCACGTGTTGGCCCCACGCCGGCAGCCAGGCCACCACCCAGTGCAACCCACACGTAGGCCCGGGTTAGAGGCCGGCGCCGCCGCCCTCCACCCCACGCAGGTAGCGCTCACCTCAGCGCTCGCGGCGCCTCCACCTTCAGCTTTTTGGGCTTCGGCTCCTCCTCTGCCGTGGCCATCTTCGCGCTCCCACTCCACTTAGGATCCAGCGTGCGCCCCACCCCTTCGGCGCTGCAGTGCCGCCCCCGCCTCGTAACACCGCCTCCGTTTTTACAAACCCCTCCCTCTCGGCTCCTCCCAGTTCACGCCTCTCCCGCCCGCAATCATTGGCTCGACCCCTCAGCTCCACCCATCGGCTAGTACCGCCCCTTCCCGGTCCCGCCCCTCCTCGTAGGGGGCCAACCCGCCCCCCCGCAAATTGTGTTAGGTTGCGGATGAGCGCCTGAGTCCAGGAACGCGAAACCCCAACATTCTTCTGAATTCTCGGGAATCTAAAATATTTGAACCCTAAAACTCAAGAGATGTATTTCTTCTCATTCAACACCTTCCCGCTTACTTAACCTTTCCAAATCTGTAGACCTGGTTGGTCTCCTTGAAGTTGTCAGTCAGGCAATCTACTGGGCACTCCAACGGCGGGGTCCTCACGACCTACTCCGCTGCCTCAGTCCCGGTGCGGAGAGGACCCGGCGCCGAATCACTGACAGGCCCAGGTGTCGGGGTGAGTGTGAGGGGCGGGGAGTCTGCGTTCTGGGGACGGCTGGAAAACGGGGGCGTAGGCTGACTATCCTGGGCTGCGGGCGCGTCTCCCGCGCTGCGGGCCGGGGCCGTGATCTCCCTCCTGGCCTTCCGGGCTTTCTTGCCAGCCGGGCCGGAAGGGACGGTGCCCCTACAGCCCTGTGTTCTCAGGCTCCAGGCCCGAGCGGTTCAGGCTCATTGGAGTCCCTCTCCGTTCTCCGTCGCGGGAAGGTCTTGTCACCCACCGTGAGCTGGAGTGCCGACGACTCGGACCTCAGCCCCAGGCTTCTGCTTAGGAGAACCAAACCCGGGACGGACCTGAGCGCACATCCTGTTAGGATAGAGGGTGGCGCCTGGAGGAGCCAGGTGCGGGGAATACAGTGAGGAGGGTGCTGCCGCTCCGAAGACTGACAGGTGGTGGGAACCTAAGCAGGAGGTGGCGAGGAGTACGGGAGAGCGGTGGCCAGTGTGGCTGCTCGCACTTGGTAGATGGGGCTTGGATCTGGAGCCGAAGCTGATAGCGTACGTGGTTAAGAAGGTGGTGCCTCGATAAAATCGGGAGCCCTCGCGCGAGGAGGAGGAATTTTGTGGAACTTGGGATGTATCGGGTTTGCGACGGTGGTTTAGGCAGGGATGGTAGAAGAATAACAGGAAGAAAGCATGGGGAGTGAGCCGGAAGGAGACGTCCAAGGTGAGAACAAAGCAGGTGGAGTTTCGTATAGTAATAGGGTAAGAAGTAGTGGTTTTGTTTGGGGGAATGTTAGCAGTGACAGGAGATGCTGCCAGGGTTCAAGGAGCCCGTGGGAGTGTGAGACCGGGTGGCTGGATGTGAGGATGAGGAAGTTAGAGAGTCGGCTACTGAATGGAGAGACTGGCGGTGCGGACGTGATCCTTCTTCCCTTGGAGCACGGAGCAGACGCTTATTGAGGTGGGCAAGGTTCCTGAAAAGCTTGGTTTGTTTGTTTTTAGGAATGCGTCCAAATATTCTTTTTTTTTTAATATATTTTATTGATTTTTTTTTTGATTTTTTTTTTACAGAGAGGAAGGGAGAGGGATAGAGAGTTAGAAACATCGATCAGCTTCCTCCTGCACACCTCCTACTGGGGATGTGCCCACAACCAAGGTACATGCCCTTGACCGGAATCGAACCTGGGACCCTTCAGTCCGCAGGCCGACGCTCTATCAACTGAGCCAAACCGGTTAGGGCCCAAATATTCTTTTTTTTAGGCACCATGTCCTTGACCCGGCTGCACCATTATCTTCGGTGCAGAAAACCAGTTAACCAATGTATAACATTAAAGATTCAAAATGACAAATGGAAGGGTTCGTTCTGGAAAGAAGGGAGGACACTTTCCATTGAAACCATAGGAAAAGTGGAGAAATGAGGTGAATGAAGAATTGTCCAAAACTTAACGTGTCTTTAGTAGGAAAGCTCTCTTTGCAATCAGATTAGCTTTTCATATTGAATCTTGGTATTTTTACAGTGTTTCTAAGAAGCATTCAACTATTGGAGTTCCCTGCAGAGTAGATACTTGTAAGGTGCTCAGTAGTATCTCAATTTGTGGGTAGGAAATGGTATTTGTAAAGAAGAGGAATTCTCTCTCCATCTGCAAATCACCTTCCTTCCTGTTACACAGAGAAAATAAAAGCCATCGTCTTTCTGCAACCAAATATGTAAACCTTCTTGCCATTTGTTTAAAGAGGAAAAAATGTCCCTTCTCCTTATGGAAAACAAATCCTTTCACCTCGTTGACCAATGCCATCCTCTCCTACCTTTACAGCGTTTTCTTTCTTTTTTTAGTTATTCTCTCCCCTACATCATCTGCCTTCCCCGCTCTGCTCACACCTTTTCTTTCCAATTTAAAAATATTCTTCCTTACCTTTATGAACTACACCCATTTATTTGCCTGTCTTTTCATTTCCTTCACAACTAGAGTTCTTGAATGTATCATCTGCTCTCCTTATCTCTGTTTTTCCCACTTCTTGCTACTTATTTCTCATTTCTCAGCCCTTTACAGTATACCTGGTTTCCAGTTTTCCATTAAACTGTCACTGAAACTGCTTTTAATAAGATCATCAACATCCTCTCTGTGTTAAATTATATATTGTCAGTAGGGACAAGAAAAAATCATATTCTTTTTATAAAGCACAGATATCTCAACAGTACATAAAGAAATATACAGTATATACTTGTGGTTTGAAACTTTCTAGGGGAAGGGTCTGATAGAAGGGGAGTCTGAAAAGGCTCCGTTAGCAGGTAATAATGAAAAGAAAGTTGAGAAACTTAAATCAACACTTTCAGTTCTTGTAGCTTGAACTGTTTGTGCCATTTACAATGTTTAAAACTCCATTCTTCTGGAAGCACACTAACACACTATAGTTACTAAAAAACCATTACCTTCTCTGCTTTTTTCTTATCCTTTTTCAGCCAGATCTTTTTTTTTTTTTTTAGAGTATGTTTATTAAAATGGGACAGTGAAGAAAGGAGGGTCTTAGGATAGAAGAAGCAACAGGAGAGGCTAGGCGGGCTGCTTTGGCTCTAGAACAGATGGGAAGGAGGTGAGCCCAGGCGGGACTGATACCAGCTCACAGGAAAGTCAGAGAGAAGGGGGCCTTGGAGCCGGTTTAGGGGGTTAGTGGGCAAACTACGGATCCGGCCCGTTTGAAATGAATAAAACTAAAAAAAAAAAAAGACCGTACCCTTTTATGTAATGATGTTTACTTTGAATTTATATTAGTTCACACAAACACTCCATCCATGCTTTTGTTCCGGCCCTCCGGTCCAGTTTAAGAACCCATTGTGGCCCTCGAGTCAAAAAGTTTGCCCACCCCTGGTTTAGGGGGTTAGCCTGCGATAAGGTGCCACTGCCCATTGCTCTCCTGGTTGCAACCCTTAGCGTTTAGGAGATGAATGCCTGTGGGGGGAAGAAGAAGGGGAAGGAAAAAGCGCCGGCTGACTCCCAGGAGGGAGAGTGCATCCAAATATTCTTTTTTTAGGCACATTTCCTTGACCCAGCTGCTACTCAAATGTTGGAGTTCCTTTCACAGACTCTCTTCAATTCATACTCTTTCTTTGTAGTTTTATTCTCCTTAGAATTACAATTCCCATTAACAAAAATAATGATTATTAAACAAATCTATTTCCAACTCGGCTTCTCTTGGGAGCACCAGACCCATATATCTTTTGCATATGTCCGTTTGATTCAAATATAACCAGAATTGGGTCTGATCTTACAGAACTAGGGTTCAATGCCTCATTTTCCCTCTCATACCCCCCTCTTCTCCCTCCCCAGTCTTTGCTCAAACCAAAATGTTTCTCTTATCTTTTTATTTTACTCCATCCCTGCTGTCAACATTCTAGTTCAGGCTACAACCATAATGCATCTCTCAACTGGCCTCACAATAGCCAGTTTCCCTTTTATGCAGTTGCCACAGTGCAGTCTTCCTAAAACTGTAAATGGGATTGTATGAATCCCCTGCCTAAAACTGTAAAAATGATTTTACGTTGCACTGAGAACAAAGTGAACCCATCTCTGCGTAATTCATCTCACCATTCCCCTCACCTTCTAAAGTTGCTAAATTTTACTGGATTTCTTTATCTTGTGTTCTCTCTCACCATAAAGCCTTGCAAATTTCTATAGTACACTGCATTTCCCCGTCATAGGATTTACATCTTACTGTGTTGAGTTTTTTGCCTTCTTTGTTGAACTCTAAACTCTTAAGTTCAGGGCCTGTATTTTGTTCACCCCTGTATCCCCATTATTTAATATAGAAAACATTCAAAACTACTTGTTGAGTGTACAAATGGTCAACATATTGGCTGAGAATCAGGTGAGCCAGATTCTTCTCTGGTCTCATTCTCTCACCTTGGATATGCCTCTCTTGCCTTCCATGCCTTTATTCTGTTCTATATAGAGGGAATACATTTTCTTTTTTCTCTTCCAAGGATATTTTGACTATTGTAATTGCACTGCTTATGTATCGTCAGGATGAGTATGTCCAACATTTGGTAAAGGGGATTTAAGAAGTATTTAAGCTGTAGGCAAAGCTCTGATGGGACTGCCTCTGAAGACAGTTTCTCAAGTGGCTTTAAAATAACTGGGAGAATTCTGTTTTCTGGCTCAAAGTCACTAAGAACAAAAAGATAGTTGTGGTGGTGGTGTGTGTGTAGCTTTTCCCAGGAGGTTTTTAAAAATAATAAAAGAAGTAAGTGCAGCTACTAAAAGAGTAAGAACCAGGCTGCAAGTGATATTTATTTAATTGTTATATGCATTAGGCCCTTGGTCATAATATGGATACAGGAAATAAGCTCTCTTTTCGTATAGTAGAAGGTTAAGATGGGTTTTTTAAGCTAAGCACTAATGAAAGCTACGAAGTGTTATGCTTTCATCTCAGCACTAAGGATAACAATAAATCCAGATGGCAGTTAACATGCCGTATTCTTCTGAGATCTGAACTACTGCCAATGAAAGCAGCTTTAGTGGAAACTTTTCCTGGAAAGAATTTTTCACCAGCTTAAAACGATGAGTAGGAATCTGGCCTCTAAAAATAAAGAAAACTTCAAAGTCGCTTGTTTCAAGAACAGCAGTCTTTTAGGGTGTATTGGAGCAATAGAGTACCACAGATACATGTGAACTATTCTTTCTATAAGATAAATGGTTGAAGAAGAGAACATATATCAGCTCCTTTAAATATAATTTCTGCTCTAAATAATTTATTAGAACACACTTTGGCTTCTAACTATACAAGAAGCATACCCTTCAACTATTTCTCTTAATTATAAGTTCAAACAGCACATTTGCTGCCCAGTCCAATATGTTAACCACTAACTACATATAATTAAAATTAATTAAAATTAAAACTTCAGTACATCAGTTGCATTAGCCAAATTTCAGGTGTTCATTAGTCACATGTGATTAGTGGTACTGTATTGGACAGCACAGATACAGGACATATACATCATTGCAGGAAATCCTATTGGGTGGTATTTTATGTTTCTAACTAGAGGCCCGGTGCACAAAATTACAAAATTCGTGCAGGGGGGGGGGGGGGGGTCAGCCCAGCCTGCACCCTCTCCAATCCAGGACCCCTCAGGGATGTCTGACTGCCAATTTAGGCCTAATCCCACTGGTATTTTGTTTAGGAGTTTTGCTTCCTAAACCGGCAGTCGGACATCCCTCTTGCAATCCGGGACCGCTGGCTCCTAACCGCTCACCTCCTTGTCTGCCTGATCACCCCAACTGCTCCCCTGCTTACCTGATCGCCCCTAACCAACTCTGCCTGCCTGCCTGATCGCCCCTAACTGCCTCTGCCTGATGTCCCAACTGCTCCCCTGCCAGCCTGATTGCCCCTGACTGCTCTCCCCTGCCAGCCTGATCACCCCTAACCGTCTCTGCCTCTGTCTCTGCCACCATGGCTTTGTCAAGAAGGACGTCTGAAAGACATCCGGTCTAAATAGCATATTACCCTTTTATTAGTATAGATACTGTGTATTGTGTTAATTGATTTTCATATGTTGAAACCATCTGTGCATTCTTGGAACAAATCGCACTTGGTCAAGGTATATTAGTATAATATTTTTTTATGATGTTGGATTCAGTTGCTGGTATTTTGTTTAGAAGTTTTGCTTCCATGTTTTTAAATGAAAATGGTCTATAGTTTCTTGTATTGCCTTTTCTGGGTTTGGTGTCAGGATAATATAAAGATACCTTTGATGTATACTAAATTTAAACTTTTTTTCCCCAGAAAATGATCCACAGTCTATTTCTCATAAACTGTTCCGGTGACATATTTCTAGAGAAGCACTGGAAGAGTGTTGTGAGCCAATCTGTCTGTGATTATTTCTTTGAAGCTCAAGAGAAAGCTGCTGATGTTGAAAATGTACCACCTGTCATTTCAACACCTCACCACTACCTCATCAGTATCTATAGGGATAAGCTCTTCTTTGTGTCTGTCATACAGACTGAAGTGCCACCTCTCTTTGTAATTGAATTCCTACATCGAGTTGCTGACACTTTTCAGGTTGGTTATTCATTAGATCTTTGAACTTAAATTACCCAAGATAGTTGGGGGGGACACATTATTATATTTTTTAACTATCCAGCTTTTGTTGTGCTGTCTGTCCTACTGTCCCTCTCTCTCTGTCTTCAACTATGCATAAACCCTTTTATGTAGGGCATACAGTAGCACACATGGCTGCTCCATTCACTGTTTCAGGAGAACAGAAAACTCTCATTGGCATGGAAGCCTTATTTTTTATATGTGTTATAAATTATGTCATCGGGAAACAATAGTGCTTTCCACACACAGTTCTCTGAGTGGTCCCAAGATTTTTATTGGTCATGAAATCTGATGTTCACATTTTATTTTTTTCGTTTTACTGAATATGCCAAATACTTTAATCTGTGTGTTTTGGGGTACCTAATCGGGACAAGGGGAGTTTATAGTTCACATTCTGGTTTAATGCTTCACTGTACTTTCGGGCATAATATGTAATAGAAATTCAATTCAGAAATTTAAGAAAATATTATATAGAACTATCAAAGGGTTTTTTTTTCCCCTTTGTTTTACATTCATTGAATTATGCAACTGTAAGTTTACCCTTCAGAACAAAAGGTATTTAGCAAGCCTTTCTTCATTCCTTCCGTGGTATTTTATCAGGACTACTTTGGTGAATGTTCAGAGGCTGCAATTAAGGATAATGTGGTCATAGTGTATGAGCTCTTGGAAGAAATGTTAGACAATGGATTTCCACTGGCTACTGAATCTAACATTTTGAAAGAACTGATTAAACCACCAACAATTCTCCGTTCTGTCGTCAACTCTATTACAGGTGAGGCGAAAATACACTTTATTAGGAATTGAGCAACTAAAACCTTATAAACAACTCAACACCATTTCTTATGATCTGGCAGATCCTTAAGATAGTCCAGTTTGGCCGGAATTAAAGTTAGTGTTGAATTTTAAATGGATGTATATTTCCTCTCATGTTTAAAATCTATTTATTTTGCTGGGTCTTAAATGCTAAAGAACTTCTTGGTTATTACTTTTTGTTATAGGTTTTTCTACAAAACCATAATAATATTACTATTATTTAATACTAAATAATAAGACTAAATAAATGATCACAGTTAATCCTAAAGAAGCAAATGTCATGATGGATGTTACTGAAACTTACTATGATAATTATTTTGCAATATATACACATAAATCACTCTATCGTATACCTTAAACTTAACATAATGTTATATGTCAATTATAACTCAATAAAACCAGAAAAAAATAAAAATAGTATTAAAAAACTGGCATATGCTGCTACCCTACAATTAATAAAGTACAGAAAATGTGAGACTTGCTACCACAGAGTATATACTGTCTCCTCCAGGTCTTTGTTTTATACATGCAAGTGCTCCCTTTGGCAGCTCATTTATACATGAAAAAGATGTGTTAAGACAGAAAGACAAGAAATTAAGTCTATTTGTGATATCTCAAGCATTGTGGACCTTGTACTTGTGTTATAAATTTCCAATTTTGATTTAATTCTTCAGTAGGGCTAGAAATTAGGTACATTCAGATGACAATATTCTTTTGAAAAAAATTAAAGTCTTCTAGAGAAAGATTTCTATGAAATGTTATGTGCCATTCCAACTCTACTGTCCACCATTGTAAATGCCTCTCCAAGAGCACTAATCTAAAGTGGGTGAGAGAGGCTTATAAGAAACCGTTCATTCCATAGCTCTTATTCATCCTCTGTACAAGGCTGAATGTCAGGAGAAATTCAAGGAAAGATAAGATGGCATGTCTGTGCTCCTTCCTAAAACTTATACTCTGGATGGGAGGGAACTGGAAAAAAAAAAATTAAAATTGAAATACACAAATAACAGTATAAGATTTTTTTTTTTTTTTAAAATATATTTTATTGATTTTTTACAGAGAGGAAGGGAGAGGGATAGAGAGTTAGAAACATCGATGAGAGAGAAACATCGATCAGCTGCCTCCTGCACACCTCCTACTGGGGATGTGCCCGCAACCAAGGTACATGCCCTTGACCGGAATCGAACCTGGGACCTTTCAGTCCGCAGGCGGACGCTCTATCCACTGAGCCAAACCGGTTTTGGCAACAGTATAAGATTTTTAAAAGCAGTTTCATACTTTGTAGGTGATATAGTCATAATGGAAGGTGTTGTTATTGTTAAGCATGTACTACATTTGAATTGGAAATGTAAATTAACCATATTGGTAACTATTTAGAAGTTCAAGGATATCTGTTTAGGACAACCAGATTTATTTTCAAACCTATGTCAGTTTACCAGGAAATTAGCCAGATATTGAACATTAGCCATATTGTAGCCGGAAGGGTGTGCTGACCTTAAAATGGAAAAAGGCCAGAGTATGTTCTTCATTGCAGTTACTCCACTGAGGCCTGCTTGGCAGCATCTCATGTAGAATCCAAGCTGAAAACCAAAGGACCTAGTTATCGCCCCGTATTCTCAGTGGAGACATTTTATCGACAGAAGGTTTTGAAACAACCATCCTCTTTTTTTATCAGTGGCAGCAGGATGAGAGTCTGTTGTTGAGCCACTGGAATTAGGTTAGGTTACTGTTAACACGCAGGAAGCAAAAGATAAGTAAATGAATTTAACCTGGTTTGGCAGATAGAGGACCACATGGCCTATTTCTGTCTTGTAGAAATTGGATCATGTTGGTATGAATATGTCTCCAACAATTCTAGAAACCATCCACAACTTCAATGAAGAAAAACCCAAACATTAAAGAAGCAGCTAAAATATTCTTTTTTTTTTTTTCCTGTTAATAGCTTTTCTTTTGACCATTTTATGCATTAGTTTTGCTTTCTCTTTTCCGGTTTCTAGGCAGTAGTAATGTTGGGGACACACTCCCCACTGGGCAGCTGTCCAACATCCCATGGCGCCGGGCAGGAGTAAAGTACACAAATAATGAAGCCTATTTTGATGTCGTTGAAGAAATAGATGCAATTATAGATAAATCAGGTAATTGTGTGCATGTGGTCTTATTTGGGGGAAAAAAAACAATTCAGCTGACATAAGCTGAAGAGAAAATTGAAATCCCTTGGCAGTGTAGTTTCAGTGGAAAGACTAATGTTTAAATTTATTTTGCCCAGAGATTACATATAATTTTCATAACCACTAGTTGAGATCGGCCAATCTTTGTAAATCAGATCTTATGTTGTCTTACATTAAGTTGATTATTACCCTGTACACCTCTCCTCTTGTCATTTATTCATTATGTACTTTAATAAGTACATTTATTGTACTTCTACCATACACCATACTTTTGCTACTATTTTTTGTGCAGTATTTCTAGTAAAGATCCCAGACAAAACAACAGTGCTGTATTAGATCACAAGCATTTTAAACATCTCCAACCCTCACATTTTATACGTAAGGAAACTGAAGTTCAGAAGGGTTAAGTAAGCTGCTCACGGTAGCACAGCTAGTTGGTGTGAAACTGAGTTATTGTGAACTATAACCAATATCTTTTCTTTAGTGAGTACCCTTTTCATTATAAAATTCCATCATACAGAAAATAGCTGTATTATTGCAGAATAATGGCTCCTATTTCTTAAAAGTTAACAGGTAGCTTAGTCCATTTCATGAGAAACTTGCCTCATTTTAAAATTCTGTGAAAAATATTTTAACTTCATATCCAGCAGTTTTACAAGTTTGACTCTATAGAGATATAGACAGGTTTGATTTTCCTTAGAATTATCATATTCCAACCTGTGTTAGGTATGGGCCATAGCACTCACTGAAGAAGCTGAATATAATGGATCTCTGTCCACTGATCTGATAATAGATGTGCAAAGGTTCAGTATATCTGACATCCAGGAGGTATCTCTATTACTTCAACACAGTGATAACTCAAAAAATGCAGATCCGATGATGTTATCACCTTTTTTCTTTCTTCAGGATCTACAGTCTTTGCAGAAATTCAGGGGGTCATTGATGCTTGCATTAAGTTATCCGGAATGCCTGACCTTTCCCTTTCTTTCATGGTAGGTTTTTTTGTTTGTTTTGGGGGGCTTTTTTTCATGGTAGGTTTTGTTCGCCTGTCCTATAGCTCCTTGCATGCCTAATACATATGCAGCACTAAATGAAATGATAAACACTGAGACAGTCTTGTATCTTAGATTGTAAAAGATTATCTCAGAAGTTATCCTAGCACAACTTACCAGGACACTCGCTTACATGATGAGCATGGCCTGTGTGGAAAGGCTGAGGAAAGGTCTTTGCCCAGGTGTGCTAGAAGTAGCTTAAATGGCTAGCTGGCTTCTGCAATTCTGCAGCATTGATTTCATTGAATTATTATTTGTTTTGCTGGTATGAAAGGGCATTAATCTTTTGCATCATTTTAGACTCGGCATGACACACCACTAAGAACAATCAAGAAAACTGAGTTCCAGTTCAGTCTCTGCCACTAACTTGTCCTGACCTTGAGTTCTTTGAACCTCAGTTTTTTCATCTATAAAATGGAAATGAAACTCTTGGATTTTCTACTTCATAGTTAAGATTCAAGTAAAATAATGATATAAAATATTTGCAAACTTTAGAGCATTGTAAAACTATGCTTATGATGTGGTCGTAATAACAAACTCTTACATGACTGCTTTATCTTTAGGGAGAATATTAATTTCTCATAATATCTGAATAGAGTTGCCATGTTCCTTATGCTCTATGAATATGGTGGTTGTGTTCTGTTTTCCTGGCAGAACCCCAGGCTGCTAGATGATGTCAGCTTCCACCCCTGCATCCGGTTCAAACGTTGGGAATCTGAAAGAGTTTTGTCATTTATTCCTCCAGATGGAAATTTCCGACTCATATCATATCGGGTCAGCTCACAAAAGTATGTTGATCAACCAGATACCGCCATCATATATCAATATGCTGAATAGAATTGACTTTTCATTTTGATAGTTGGATTCTTGAGTTCATCGTTGCTGCCTTTAGCCATGGTTCACCAGGAGAACCAAGAACTGGTGAAAATATGTTTCTAAAATAATCAGTGTACCTTGAATCTAAGAGTAGACTAGTAGTAAATGAGACCTTAGTAAAATATGTACCTGAGAGCAAGCATTTGGGGCTGTATAACTTGAGCAAAGCCATGAACCCATGCCATAATTTTACTATGGTCTATACACTTCATGGCTGACAGAAGGAGACAGACCTACCTATAGCACTCAGGACATTCCCCAACTAACTGGCTCCAAGTCACTCTTCTATGCACTGGGGTTTATTTTCTTTAATTATTTATTTATTTATTTATTTTGCACTGGGGTTTAAATGAATGATTTAGTGTTGTGGGTTGTAGCTAGTTTGTCCCCAGAAAATATCAGAAGTTATTTAGCTGGCATCAGGACAGGACTCAAAAGCAGAGATTTGAATTGTTTCTTGGCTCTTACCACATACAAACTGCTTAATTAGTTTGCATAATGGTAAATTATCTTTCTATAGATCTTAATTCATTTCTTTAAACTAGGGCTATTTGCCCCAATTGTTTATACTATAATTAAGCTTCAGATTTCTATCTTGATTTGTATACTTACTCCTCAGAAATTGTATAATTCCTAGTGTAGTGGTACCAGAACAATGTGCTGTACTCACTGCACCCCCACCCCCAGTGCAGATGCAGAATCCGCACTTCTAGGGGTATAAGGTCTTATAGTGAACTTAGAGGCAGGGTGGATACCCTGGACTGAGGTTTTAAGGTCACTTCCTGAGCTGTCTCATACCATTAATTATGTGTGTCTGTGCTTTTGTGTCTTTATCTTTTTAGTCTAGTGGCAATACCAGTGTATGTGAAACATAGCATCAGCTTTAAGGAGAACAGTTCTTGTGGCAGATTTGATATTACAATTGGACCAAAGCAGAATATGGGGAAAACTATTGAAGGAATCACAGTGACAGTTCACATGCCAAAAGTTGTGCTGAATATGAACCTGACACCAACACAAGGCAGCTATACATTTGATCCAGTTACCAAGGTATAACCACCTCAAATCAAGAGTGAGCGTGTTTCTGCAATCTTTATTTTGTGATTTGGGGCAGGGGCTAGAGGGAAGGTTTTAGAGTCTTGGTTAAAACTAAAGTTCCTAACAAAACAGAGAGCATACTGTGCTGTGCTTTTGCCAGTGGCTTTGAAGGAAATACTGCATCTGCCGCTCAGAACAGAACAGACTCATTCTGTCCCCCTTCAGAGAGTGCACACCTTTGCTCATCCATTGATAATCCAGGCACTCATTCTCTAATGAGGAAGAAGATACAAAAGCTTTTTAAAAAGAGAAAAACATTGTGTGGCTGTAAGAAGATATATAGGCTATTGTTACATTTACTGTAGAAATTGATCATTTAGATCTTTCTCTTTTTTTTTTTTTTAATTTAAGAGCATTGTTTTATACTTTTCCACAGGGGGTGTTGGCTAGGAAAACAGCATCCTCACCCTACATAAATGTGCCTCTAACAGGGTCTTCAGAGAAACTGCAAAAGATGATTTTCTCTCAACTTCCTGGTTGGGTAAAAAATATTATTTTCAACAGCAGAGTCATTGGACTGCCTGGTAAATGAAAGGCATATTTTTTTAAAATATGTTTTTATTGATTTCACAGAGAGAGAGAGAAACATCAGTGAGAGAGAAACAAACATCAACCAGCTGCCTCCTGTACACCCTCTACTCGAGATCAAGCCCACAACCTGGGCATGTGCCCTGACCAGGAATTGAACTGGTGACCTGGTGCATGGGGCAACATTCAACCAACTGAGCCACACCAGCCAGGCAAAAAGGCATATTTTTAAATAAAATCATAGAATATTAAAGATCATCTAATGCAGTCCTAAGGATTTGAAGAACCACACAGGCCTGAGAAGTGAAGGGGGGCTTCAGATGCCTGGCCCTTCACAAACCAGCTTCTCTTTTTCATCTATTACTGAGCTTCCACGCTATAGATTTCATTTGAACAAAGGGTTCCACAGCTGAACGTTTAAAATACCAGTTTAGGTCAGTCTTCTCATTTTACACAAAAATAAACTTGAGGCTCAGACAGAAACAGTGAATGTGACATAGTAGAAAGAGCATTTGAAATCAGATAGCCTTAGGTTCAAATCCCAGCCTTGTCCCTATCTAGCTGTGTGACCTTGAGCAATCTTTTTACCTCTGAGCCTTAATTTCCTCATTTGTAAAAAGACAAAATCTACATCACAGGCTTCTATAAGATAACATACAGGTAGTGCTAAGCACAGTGCTATATCCAAAAGTCAGTGTTCAACTAATGTTGGTTCTCTATTGACTCTCCATTTAGACTCACAGAACTAATTAGTGGTGAACTCAGTGAAGGTCCCAGGTCTCTTGTTTCCAAGACACTGTGCTTCATTTTGTACAAAAGTTTATGGTGTCTTTGAACATTTGTCTTTATTAAATGGTTCAGATTGTTTGTTTTTCATGTCTTTTTAAGGTACTAACATGGGATGTGGGGAAAATTACTCCACAAAAGCTCCCAAGTCTTAAAGGACTGGTAAATTTACAGTCTGGAGCACCCAAGCCAGAAGAAAATCCAAGCCTCAACATACAGTTCAAGATCCAGCAGCTTGCTATTTCAGGTAAGGATAAATTTGATTTGTGTTTAAGGGCAATTGAGTTCTGCTGAGGTCAACTACTAGGAGCTTAGAAGGGTAACACTCCCTCTCTAGAAAGAATAGCTCCAGTTTGCCTTTCACATTGCTATGGGGCCAACCTCTCAGGGACAGTGAGTTTAGAGAGCACCTGTTTCACACAGTTTTCCTTTACCCCAACCCTGATTCAAGCACCAAAGGAGTTCTGCATTCAGAAAGTAGACTTAACCTTAAAAGACATTCCTTGCCCACAAGGGAATCTGAACTGAATAACATCCCCACAATGCTGTAATTCGTATATGGTAGAAGGGATATTGTTTCCCAGTGGTATAAGGGACACTGGTTAATGTCAGATTTACTGAGTAGTGCTCACTGTTAAACAAATACTGTATTGGTTGATGTGACCAGGATAATAATGTATTCTTTTCCCTACCTATTCTTTTTGACACAGGCTTAAAAGTAAACCGCTTGGACATGTATGGGGAGAAGTATAAGCCATTTAAAGGAGTCAAATACGTCACAAAAGCTGGAAAGTTCCAAGTGAGGACATGAGAAGAGGCCAAAATCCTTCGAGATCTGTTTGTTTTCTCAGTGTCATTATAGTTTGTTACTATGAGGTACCAAGTGGGTGGGAATACTTATTCTAGTTAAAGCATTTGTGAGCTACACGCCGCTAACAGAGTTGCTTAGTGCTCCATGTAGGGTTCTTAAGGAGCTTTAAGCTAAGGTAATTTTTTAATAACCTAGCTTGTTTTGTATCTTTTACTTAGGAAGATTTTGGGGGTGATTTTCTCCATAGGGGGCACCAGCTGGAGGTTGCACATTGTAACAGTAAAGGCAGAAGGCTACAGTGATAACCTCTCTCCTAAAACAAGTGAACTGATCTCAGCCAGCAGCTGTCTTCATCTGTAATGTGATGTGTCAAGTGCAGCCAAATATCACACCTGATCTTAGCCATCCCAAATCAGCATCTGTTCCAAGAGGAAATTCCCTCCACCCCAAGAAGTTTACAAAAAAACTGCCTCTTCAAGTGTTTGCCTTATTCAGCTTTTCACTTGTGCCATTAAGCAAGCACTGTAGCAGAAGCCACCTCCACATGCCCTGGCAAGGAGCACTGCTGCTCCACGCTCCATCCTCACTGTACTTGGTATTGTATTTTTTATAAATAAGATTTCTATGTAAAGCGCAGATTTTAATTTACAGAGACCTTGCTGCAGTAAGTACCATCTCAGTTTTGCACCATTGGTTCAGCTGTTAGCACAGTAAAAATCATTTGTATGAAAGGGGCAAATGCTTTATTAAGGTAATATAAGGGAACACTACTGCTTTTAGGAAGTTATTGCAAGCACAAGTGTTTGAGATTTTAAATAAATTAAAGTAGTAAAATAAGAATGTAAGTGAACCTTTGCCATCTTCATGTTTTATAAAGCTTATCCAACACCAATTAAACCATAGTTAGCCTAAAGGCCTCATGCTGTAGATCAGCAAAAGGAGGAAAATATGCCTGCCTCACTATGGTCTTTCATCTTTTTTGTTATTTTTACTTTTTTATTGAATTTATTGAAGTGACATTGGCTAATAAATTTATATAGGTTTCAGGTGTACAATTCTATAATTACATCATCTGTATATTGTATATTGTATTGTGTGTTCATCACCCCAAGTCACATCTCCTTCCATCACCATTTATTCCCTCTAAACCTTCTTCTTCCTTCCCCCACCCCTTTCCCTTTGGAAATAACCATACTGTTGTCAGTGTCTATGTGTTGTTGTTCTTAAGGGGTTGAATTTGCCTGTGTCCCTTGTCTTCAAGGGGAACTCCCTTTTCATATTGTGTGTTTCTCAAAGCTATAGTCAATAGCTTCCGTCCTGAAACTATTGTTGTAATTGTCACTGGAGTACTTACATGTCTCTGCTGTACTGACAAATCATGTAGAAGAACATAGTGAGGCAGAAATAAAATCCTCAGTAACATTTAAACCGTTCGGTCATCGTGGTCGGCTGCCAGTCTACAGTTGTATTCCACTCAACTTCACTGGCTTAGTAGTCCTTGCCCAGTTATTTTGCCTCATTAGACATGAAGAATGGAGAAAGGCTAAAAGTTAAGATATAAGTGCTTGTTCTTCATATTTTCCTCCTTGTCCTTACCTATGCTATTAGATTTCTTCTTATGACTCCATTCTTTCCATTCTTCTCAGCTTATACCGCCCTTTCCTTTATGTTAAAGGTAGCCCTGACACTCATCCCATTCTGTCAAGGACTAGTGTTTGGTGCTGGTGCAGGGAGGCCAATATACAGCAACATTCTTACCTTTGCCTGCCTAGGGCACCCAGCCTACCTTTCATCTGGCAGGAGAAGTCACTTTTTGCAACTTTGAAATTTCTAGAGCCCAGGCCGGTGTTATTCAGTTGGTTAGAGCGTCAGCCCAAGCATCAGAGGGTTGCAGGTTCAGTCCCCTGCCCGACCAGGGCACGTGCAGGAGGCAACCAATCAGTGTTTCTCTTCCCCACTCCTTTCTCCCCGCCCCTTTCTCCCTCCCTCCCTCCCTCTCTCTTCACCTCTCTCCCTCCCTTTTACTCTCTCTAATAATCAATGGAAAAAATATCCTCAGGTGAGGATTAACAACAAAAAAATTTCCCGGGTAGCATCATCAGCTTGGCAGCTAAAATCAAGATGCTGCCAAATATTGATTCCCTTTGCTTAATGTTGGCTACCCAGTTCAACTACTTTTTATTTTTAGTGTTTTACAAAGTTCATACCTCAAAAGAACAATCAGTTCATTTGCTTTCTTTCTGCCGAATCCCTAATCAGCCATCTGTACCCGGTGTCCGATTTTCTTTCTGTGCTGTCTCCTCTTATATACAAGCAGATTGTATGCCAAGAGTCCCTTGCCTCTAGCAATTTCTGATAAAACTTCCAAATAGACTATTTCCTTTTACAATTAAATTATTGTATTTATTGATTTGATGGAACCCAGTAAATCCTTCCTCCAGCTCTGGCTATACTGTCAATAAAAAGATGAAAGCAACAAATTGACTTTTTAGCTTGACTGTTGATTGAGCATTCTCAAAGGGGCGGGTCGCAGTGTCAGAGCAAGCACAGCCTGATGAGACTTTGTTCTGTCGTACCCGGTGTGAAGGTGGCTACAAAGCACTTCCAGTGCTCCTCTCTGAACCTCGGTGTGTTAACCATCATGCATACGCTCTCTACACATCACCCATCACCCTTTTGGCCACAGATTGATCAAAGCTGCTTCTCCCTACCACCATGTACTAATAACAAAGATGCAGTAATACTTAGTAGTATTGGACTAGTTTTCAAGCTCAGAATTCTAGCTAATCCCAGAATGGCTCTGCTTTCTAAATTGTTAAAGGAATGTATCTTAAGAGCAAATGAAGTAGATGCTTGTTTTCTGTGTAAGGGAGTCACCATCCTTTTACTCAAAGGGAATCATGTGATGGGTTTGTTCCTGAAGTGATACTAGAGAAGAGCCTTTGGAAGACATTTGTCTCACTGCCCTCAGGGTATTCTGATTTGAGAAAGTGACTAACCTATAATACAGCAGGAAGGCAGCACCAATGAACACAGGGTGAACTGCAAAAATGAGACCATGAATACTGTTTTCAGATACTGCTGAGCTGATTCAGTAGCTTTGGACATTTCCTGTGGACTCAAGCAGGCTAGACTCTGCCTCCCTACTCAGTAACTTTTCTAAGCTGAAGCAACACTAACTATAGCCTTTTAATGATATTTACCCCTTTCAGACCTAGCAAATCAGGCAAAAACAGTGATGGCCCAGCTCTCCTCCAGGAACCTGCTCCTACTCTTGGTCAGTGCTTCCTCCAGCAGGAGGAATATGACAAACAGACCTGCACATGTAACACCTTCAGCTCCTCAGGGGATGGTGACAGCCTCCAGGGATAGCTAGAATCGTCTAAAATGAGGCAGACGACTTCAACCAGAGGACGGTCGCATCACCTGCTGCTTTCCTCCTTTTGTTAACCTCTGTCACTTTTGCTCCTAGTATATAATCCCCAAAGGTGTCCATCATTGCACAGATCTTTGTTAAGTAAACATACTGCTGGTTTCTACTACTTACAGCACAACATTAGGCTTGAGGATTAGTTCCACTGGTTGTTTTTCAAAACTAATGAGAAACCTGACCTAAAAGTTCTTGCTAAAATATCATTTAAAGCATTATTTATACAAATGCACTTTATTGTTTTAAACAGAACAAAAGAAAAGGCAGAAAATATTTGCATATAACAAATCCTAGCTTATAAATGTAGTTTTAGTGGTGATGTCTAATCATTCGGGGGTTTTTTTTGTTGTTGTTGCGTGTGTGTTTTTTTAATTTGCTTCACTGTGTCTTGAGCACTGATATTAGAGAAAAGCACATCGGCATAAAGGGTAAACCAGTGTCTCAAAACACTGGAAGAACTGGAAGTGTTTTATTTCCTCTAGGTAATCTTTAGTAAAACAAAAGGTGATCTTTGGCATAGATTCATACTTTAAAGGCATTAATATTGCATTTATATCAGGTAAGCAACTATCCAAATATGCTGAGGGCCTTGAAAATAATCTTCATCAGTTAATAGGAAATAGAGGAAGCCTGAGTGTACAGTACCAGGTCTTACGCATTCCATGTTGGGATCTACCACGTTGGATTCAGGCAAGGGTTCTTCCTCCTCTGCTCACCCAGTTCTGGCTTTGGGGAGAAATACGCTTTCGTGTGCTGGGGATGCTTAGACCGCAGTGATAAAAGCAAAAGAGGAAAAGCTCTTCTCTCTCATTTGCTAATAGGACACTTACGGTGATGATTTAATATTTTACCCATTACTCTCTTGAACAATAGGACTTGGGAGGGGCAGAGGATGCAAGGGGCTTGGTTGTAGTTGGTTGAGGGAGATAGAAATTACTGAGGATTATTTCCCATTGATTCATCCCCAACAGCGCCAGAATTCCAGTCTGCAAGTACCACTCACTCTCCCTTGGGTAAGAAGTGTCCTTCAGACAGGACTGCCTGTCCAGTAAACACTCCTGGGGGGCAAGCACCAATTCTGAGGACTGAATTTCAAAAGGATAAAAAGGATCTTTTCGAAATTACAGAAGAACAAACATGTATCTTTAAAAATCTTGTTTAGGCAGGGTGTGGGGCAAGAATATAAAAGCAAGGATAGGAGACATGATTTGGTTAAAAATTAAATGCAGCATTTCAGCTCAGAACAATACGAGTTAAGAATGAATGATAAGGCCTCAGCACAGACCTCTGCCGGCAGTGACAAAGCATGAAGCGCCTGGGAGTGGCCCTGCTGGGACGATGGGCAGAGCGACTCCCGGCACCTCTGCCCCTCCAGCGGCAGAGAGCACCAGGACACAGTGTGTTCATGGGGTGGCCACCTTGGGTGGCCATAGCAGGGGGATAGGGACGAGGGGTTTCCCTGGCACAGACATTGCTCAGGAGCACGGAGAAGACAATTTTGACTCTGTGATTTCCTCCCGACAGACTGAGATTGGATTTTATCCTGTGGGAAACTAGAAGGAGTAAATTGTGGAGGGGTAGGAAGTGAATCCAGGACCCATATACTGAGGCTCCCCCAGAGGCCAGCTTCCCCTACAGCAGTGAGGCTCACTTCCGAAGGGTCCAGGGAGCACAGCCAGGGAGCACCAGCAGGTCAGCAGCAACATGGAAAGCCCAAACAAATTTTGGAGGCATAGTGATTCCTTCTTAACTGACTTGCCGGGGCCCTGGGTCTCGGGAGCCTGGCGGGGGAATAGGGAGCGGGGAAAGGAAGCAGACAGGGAACAAGGACAGAGCAGGGTGTCTGGCTAGTGTTCACACTTGGATTCTGAGCTTATGTGAAGTCCATGGGCTAGAACCCAGTCTGCCTATTGGGAGCATGTGCAGGAGTATAACTGTTTGAGGATGCAGACACATTTCAGAGTGTCCATGACAAGAGAATAAATGCTTTCTAATGTGAAGAGGCCCCATTCCTTTCTGTTATATCAGGCCAGGATGTGGCTTTCAGCCCCCCAGCAATTCTGGGTGGCTCCTGGAGCTCAGATCATTTTCATACTGTTTAGTAGGGGTTTCTGTGCCAACCAGGTTCAATCGGGTGCCTACTGGTACCAGGGAGTCTTTCTAACCCAGCGCAGTGTAAATCCAGCATCAGTTCGAATTTTGATTGAAGCTGCTTCTGCCTCTCGAACAGTCTCCTTCACAGACTGCATGAGGTTCTGGGCGTTGTGAACCAGCATCTCCGTCGCCTGCAGGGGAAGAGGACCTCCATCACTCAGTGCCGGACGCAGCCGCCCTGCCTCCAGGACCGGCCTAAGCCAGGAGTGGACTGTGTTTCCCTGACCTGGTCCTGGCAGGCCCCGTACTTGTCACGTCACTGTTGCTGTAGCCGAATCACCAAAAAGACTCCAAAACTGGCCCCTCACTGTGCACTATACCCTCCAAAGGCCTCTAGTGTATACTCCCTCCTGACCTTCCAACAAGCTCCCGCCTCCAGCTCCCGCTGTGCCCTCCACTGAAATGCTCTTCCAGGTCTCCCGTGGCTCACCTTCAGCTCCTTCAGACGCCACTCGACTGTCACCCTAGTGAGGCTTTCCCTGCTCACCTTAATTTAAATAACCTTCCCAACTCCCAACAGTCCTCATCCTCCAATTCTTTCTTCATTTTTCTCCATGGAACCCATTATCACTAACTGCTGTACTACACGTTTTACCTAGGTTGTTTTATCTGTTTTATCTAAAAGTTAAGTTCCATGAGCACAGAAATTTGTGTCAGTTTTGTTCACGCTTGTACCTCTGTGTTAGGACAGTGCCTGTCACATAGAGGTATTTCATAAATATTTAATTAATGAATGAAAAAAAATAATTAAATGAACAAACCAACTACCTTACAAATCCATGAAAATCTAGTTAAGTACATCTACATACACAAACTTACAGGACCGGGATCAATCACACTGGCGCTCTACCATAGCAAGTCAGAGAACTTACCAATCCATTAGTCCTTAATTCTTTTTTGTTTTAATTCTTAACTGTTTTTGAGCCACAGAACCTGCAATTTTATGAAAAATGCTCACATCTGCAAAATTTGTGCATGCAATCAGAGAGTTCGTGGGCTCTGAGAGGCATAACTAAAATAGGCTACAATTCTTGAAAGTTGATCTTTTCACTTGGTCAACAAAGAGGCTAAGGCCTAGAGCGGTCGGAGACTTGCCAACCAATCTCACACAACAGGATAAGCTTGCAGTCTTGTGTTTTTCTACCTTGTTCAGTTTCTATCTTTCTTTATTGGACTACTTAACAGAACACAGAAGATATTCCCAAGATATATTTTTGTTGGTTATTTAAATAAGTCTGAAACTCTGAGCCTTATCCTCCCCTGGTTTTTCACCTTCCTTTTCTTGGGGCAGAAGAGACCACATGAGAGGAAACAGCCCAGTGCCCACACCCGGGGTGGGGGTGAAGATCTGGTTCCATGGTTGGGAGAAGAGAGAGATAGGGGAGAGCTGGGATTAAGGCATGGAAGTGAAGGCAGAATCCTGGCACTGTCTCATCTAACATTTCCCTCACCTCGGCTCTGGCCTAGAGGTCAGAGGCAGTCTCCCAAGCTGTCTCTGAGTTCCCCAAGGGGAGGGCTTGTGTCTGTTTTTGAAACTACCCTATACAGTGCCTAATTCAGTCCCACCTACACAACCAGTGTATGATGAGCTTGCCTGAGCAGTTCAACAAAATACGTGCTACCTACCTTAAGAAGCTGGGGATATGGCTCACAACAGAGCCTACTAGAGGGGAGATACAGGAAGGAAAAGGTGTTCAACTGGGGGCTTTCTGAAAGACCTGGGCAACATTTCCAGGGGGCAGGGAAGGAGGACAACTCCAAGAAGTGGTTGCCAGGATACAAACAGGAAGCATGGCTGCAGGGAACCCTCCCGCCATCCCTATTTCAATCTGTCAAAGAAAAGCACCTCCTCTGAGTTGTCATCCCAGGGTCAGCACGGGATCCTGACAAGCCTACACTAGGCGTCCTCCCTGAGGTGTTTATCCCCAGGGAGCCAGGAGCAGACGTCCTCTCCAGCCGGAAGGTTACAGTGGGGCCAGAGTGGACAGGCACTGGAGGCTCAGGAGAGCCAGGGAGGAAAAGAATGAGTCCAGTCCTCACTGCAACAGATTGAGACACTGAACCCTCCTAGGCCTCCATCTCCCACCTGTAAAATGACCAAAGCCGCACAAGAGTTTCACTTTACTTTCCAAATTTCTGCTGCGTCTCCAACACAGATGCTCTTCAGAGAGAAGTGAAGACTCCACCCCACATACTGAATACTCAATTCGCAGGTAAAATCTCCCCAAAGCAGAATTAAATTGCTAAGAAGTGGCACAGACACTGCTGGCCAGAAGCCAGAAGCAGCAGGCACGTACCTGCTCAGACTCCTCATCACTGATGTTGGTCCGGCCCAGCATGGTGGCCTTCACTGTGGACAGGATTTTGAGCTGGGTGCTTATGGTTGGGATTCGCTCGCACACCTGAAAACAAATGTTTAATTAGTGTTTTTCTTGCCTGCAAGTTCCTTGAGGACAAAACTTGTCTACCTCTGTATTCCCAGTGGCTGGCGTGCAGAAGGCACTCAGTAAATTAGCAGCAGGATTCCACCTGCTTCCTTCTAAGGATCAGTATAGTCCCTTTGTCCAGAAATGGAAGCATTGAGATTCTTTCATTTGATTAGGAAATAAACTTCCCTGAATCTGCCTTTCCCAAACACACATGTGTATTTCCCCTTTCTGCTGCATCTTTCTACTCTGACGTGCCTCCTCCTCCTTCTTCGCCCACTTCTCTTTCCTGCTTTTCTCCCTCCCACGTCCCACCACCCCGACACCAACACACACACACACACACACACACACACACACACACACACACACACTCCTGAGTACCTGTAAGAGGTTGGTTCTAATCCGCTTATCTGTGCACTGCTTGGCAACCTCCTTGGCCAACCGAGTCACCTCATCTGAGGCCTTGGCGATGTCCTTGGCACATTGGATCAATGCCCGCTTGGTACCACTGCCCCCTCTTACCAGCCGAGACATCTCAGCCATCAGCAGAGCCATGCGCTTGGCTGCTGCAATGATGTCATTGCCCTAGAGAGAGGCAAATACACAGGGTGAGCTCAGCCCACACTCTGGCCACGTGAGCAAAGGAAGTAGGAGCACAGAGAGAAGAGAAGGGAGCCTGCTGCTCCAGCAGTCCTCTGGAAGGTGAGAAGAAGATAGAGAGACTGTGCTCGAGGGGCATGGATAGCACAGGAGAGACAGAGAGAGCGAGCCAGGGCACTCACCCTAGCACTCTTGAGAGAGAGTGGGAGAGAGACCACCTGGCTGAAAAGGGAAGAACTGGGAATTAGTCTGAAAGGGCCCCGTGTGCGCCCCAGGCATAGCACTAGACAAGCACTTCAGCATCTCCAGGTTAATCATGTCAATGAAATGGGGACGGGGACACGAGGCTGGTTAAACAGGCATTCCCTTTCCATGGAGAGAAGCAGTAGAACTGGCCTGAGGGGAAAAATACAGAGGAGCCATCCCAGATGCTGAACTCATCCTCTTCATCCTCGCCCTTGTTACAAAGAGCAGTCAAGGGCTGTCTCTGCCAAACCAGAATTTAAAACCCAGTAACCATGATCGGCCACGATGAAAAAAGATGTATTTTGTGACCTAGACTGTTCCTACCCTCCCTCCACTGCCTCTTATTTGCCCTGTTAGCCTAAGGCAGTGGTCGGCAAACTGTGGCTTGAGAGCCACATGCGGCTCTTTGGCCCCTTGAGTATGGCTCTTCCACAAAATAACAACTTCTGCGCACGGGCCACGAAGTTTCAATCGCACTGTACGTGCACGCCCGCACGTGGCATTTTGTGGTATTTTGTGGTATTTTGTAGAGGAGCCACACTCAAGGGGCCAAAGAGCCGCATGAGGCTCGCGAGCCACAGTTTGCCGACCACGGGCCTAAGGGAACATATTATTTTAACTTTTCACATTAAGAAAGGCCAATAATCAATTCTTCCATCCCCTCAGGTAGGTGGCTGCAACTAAAGAAAACTTCAGCGAAGAAGATGCCATAGGAGGCATCAGGAAAATAAAATCATGAGTCGAGCTGTAAATGGAACCCTCACTCCAACTAACAGCAGTTTATCTCAGATTTGGCATTTTGGTTCATTAAAACCCTTATGGGTCAATAAAGAAATGTGTAACCAATTTATTTTATGTGTCCTCAAAAGGCTCTCTTTTGGCTAATAACAACCAAAAATAACAACTGCACTGTTCAAACTACCCAAAAGGCCAGGCCGTACTCATTTTTCCCCTCATGCTTTTCCGTCGCTATACGATGCAGTGAGGCATACACAAACCAGGCCACGGCAGTGCTCGTGCCGGACCTCACAGGCACCATGACGCGGCGGAGCACTTATGCCAGAAGGTGTGTAACATCTCAGGCAGGACTTGAGGCCGGAGAACGCAGGTATGTGAAGTTGAGAACAGGGTGTTAGACAAGGCCGCCTGGACCCACCTCTTCCAGGGCAGACCTGGGTCATTCTAAGACTTCATGACCTTGTTAGAAGACAGTGCAGTGCCAGGTTAGTTATTACCCATCACTCTTCAAACCCTTTCTTGCAACATGCGACCTTCAAGGAGAAAAAAAGTGATCACTCCCACCCGCACACCCCACACTAGCTTTGGTTCAGTCTCCAAGGCCAAAGCTCTGTTGCTGCCTGTCCTGCAGCCTTGAGCGCTCTCTGTTCCCACTCCAGCCCCTCCCACTGAAACCTGGTCAAGCACTCAACAAAGCCCCTTTCCCTGTGGGTCCCCATTAAGGCCAGAGCGGCCCCTCAGCCAAGTGCAGGGCAGCAAGCAGCCCTCCCAGAGAGCTGCCATAATGAAGCTGCTTCTCACCGTGACCACCTCTGCCGAGCCACCCGTGCATCAGTGAGAGGCCAGTGGCGGGAGGGGGAGACATGAAAGGTGACCTCTTAATGGTCTACAAGGTTCCTGACCTGCAAATCACTGAGAGGCGCATCCATGGCTGCCCAAGGGCTATAATCTTCCCATAGTGGCCAGGAGGTTGGTAAAAAAAGGAATCCTTTCAAAAAGTGCCCCAGCTCTCTCTAGCCCTCAGACATAAATGCAAGCCCCTTAACCTGGCATTAGCAGATCTATCAAACTTGTGAAGCCAGTCCTAACAAGGTGCAGACAGACAGATGCTGGCCCTGCCCAGACTCACAGGACCGCACAGATCACGAGTGATGCAATGTGTCAAGGCTGCACATGGCCGGATGCATAGGGAGCAGCCCCAACTGGGGGTGCTAACCAGTACCTTACTAGACCACTTGGTAGCTTCCCGATGCAATGACTGAGCCGCGGCCAGAATGGGCTGGTTGACCGGCTGATTGGATGGTATTAACAGCAGCTCAGGTTCATAATCGTCTTCCATGTCAGGGGGGACAGGGAACCCAACAGCATCAGCCGCGTCTGCCTCAGCTACAACACCTATACCTACCTTAGCGGCTGGGGGACCCGGCTTTGTCGATGGCAGGAAGGATGAGAAACAGGGACAGTGTTAGTAAGAGCAGCAGGACTTGGGGAACTGGCTGCAGCTGGTTTAGTAACCAAAGCTTGCCTGGGACGGGAGAGGAAATGGCATGTCTTCAGGAGCCAGGTGGACCACGCTCGCAGAAGGGGAATCCCTGCCTCCAGCCTCGGCCCAAGCCCCCTGTTCACATGAGTGAAGGAAGGAGACTCACACCAGTGGCAAAGGGTTTCCAGAGAAACAGTTATACTACAAAAGCAAGTAGCATCCTTTTTTATACACTTACTACTGAAATTAAACTCGCCAAGAATAATTCTCAAGTCAGAATATTTTCCAGGAACCAAACAATTAAACAATAACTCATTGCTTTCAAAAGGAATCCAGAGAGAAAAAGTAAATTCAGTCACACAAGTGGCTTGGAGCAGAGTGAAGTGAACACCCTGCTGGCCCGTATGGGTGATGTTGTACATCTTCCTGGACACAGGAAGTGACTGGGATCAGTTCTGCAGCTGCTGGATGCGGATTAATATTTCCTTCAGGAGGTAAAAGTCCCAGAATTAAAAGTGATACATCAGCCCGGCCTGTGTGGCTCAGTGGTTGAGCATTGACCCATGAACCAAGAAGTTGCTGGTTGATTCCCAGTCAGGGCACATGCCTGGGTTGTGGGCACCATCCCCAGTAGGGGGAGTACAGGAGGCAGCCAATCAATGATGTTTCTATCTCATCGATTTTTCTATCTTTCTATCCTTCTCCCTTCCTCTCTAAAAGTCAATAAAAACATATTTTTAATTGATTTTTATGGACAGCAAGCCAGGAAAAAGGCAAGAAAACAAACACAGTGGTGAGTGAAAAGGACACATCAAGTTCCCTACTGTCCAGAGACACCTGGTCCAGCCTTCCATCACAGGGAAAGCCCGCCCTCCAGACCAGCTCTCTATCCCCTCGAGGCCTTCAGAGGCAATGCTCTCGCAATCTCACATGCGTCCATTGCTGGCACTGACTCAGAGAGCCGGTCTGTGGGTACAGCCTATATCTCTCCTGTTGCTAAATAGGCTTCTCACTCACTCCACACTCAATTTACATATTTCATAGATAAGACAATACATGGACTTGGCAACTGAGCCAGGCTGAGCTCAGAGAAGCCCCCCATTGGTGCCCATGAGAGAACAGAAGCCAGGAGGGGGAGAGGATGGATTTACTACCAGGGACAGGGATTCTGAAGGGCCAGGGGAGGAGTCCGAAAGATCCGATGCTGACAGTAGGCTGGGGGGAAGGAAAGGAATTGCCTCAACCAAGCAGAACCACTTATATGAAAAACAGTGAGCACAGATTCATGGCATCAAACAGCTCTCACAAAAGGAAGGAGTCTGTGTGGAGTTTTATTTGAGGTTGCTATCACTCCTAAGGTCTTATCCTGCACAGGAAACCTGTCTCATAGGTGATGACAAAGTTGGAGGATTTGGGGCAAACGTGGACTCGGGTACCATCTAAATCCTGTCACCTAAACTCGGTCTCCACCAGCATCCATCCCCAGGCCTTAGAGGACAGGCCAGCAGCTCACTGCTCTGGGGCTTAGAGTCCCAACGTGAACAAAGACAGATAAACAGACACACAAACACATACCACCACCCCAAACACACATGGTTCAAGCAGCTCCTGACTTCACACAGCTCAAAGCCAGCGATCTCCGGATGCTCCAAACCGGAGACAGCCAGACCTAAGGACTTCTGGCCACAAATGGCAAAGCAGTACATGTGACAGCCAATGCGGTTTGCCCCCAAGTTTTATCTTTATCTCTACAGTCCATGCATACTTTGTGTTCTGTTGCACAATGTATCTGGGTTTAATGCAATGTAATTTAAATTCGCTTTAAAATCTTTGAGTAAAACCAACCTTCATTGTCCCTCCACCCCCCCTCCCATGTGCACTGACATCCCGTGAGTGGTCCCAGGGGAGTGCATGCCCCAGATGCAGAGATACAATTACAAATAATGCCACAGGCAGGTCCAACACCAGCAAGGTCGTTCCTTCTTAGAACCTGGGCTCAGAGCTAACAGTTCAAAAAAATATAGAGTTAAATAACAGCCTGAAAAAAACAAGATCAGCTGCATGTTGACCCTGGGGAACAACAGTCAGTACGAGAACTTGAGCCGGCTGAGGGTGTGAAAAGAACAAGGCAAATGGATGCTGGAATAAAGATCGAGGGTCATATTAGGGAGAGTTAAGAACTGAGTTAGGACTACGTTTCACTGCAAGGTTAGAACAACGTTTAGCTCTTATCTAGAAAAGCTACCACTCACTTAGGGGGAAAGAGGCCAAAGTTATTCACGGGGCATGACTGCTGTAACATCCACATTTCCACCAACCACATTAATATGTGCACTTTCCTGTTGGTTGAGCTGGAATTAGCCCGGAGCTGTGTTGAGTGGAGGGGTGAGAGAATTCTGAGAAAGAGACATGGCTCCTAAGACACAATCTACTTGCTTCTATGAAAAAACAGGGAAAATGTCAACATTGCATCCAGCTGTAGCAGAGCCCACAGTTTCATGTTTGGAGAGATGATCATTAGCAAAAGCATCTAAAACATTCAGCCATCCCAGGATAGAAAAGCAATTTTTAAAAGCAGCCATATACCCAGGGTGAGGCACCTGACACCCTACTGCACAGAACTGTCTTCTCCACCACAGGCATCCCCGCTCTCCCTTGCGCTGCTAGAAGGAGAAACCGTCAGGCACCAGGAGCATCTCACTAAGCCACAGTGAAGAAGAGGCTCACACTATGGCCAACAACAGGAACCAACACAGAGAGGGGGTGACTCTCCAAGCAGACTCTTCTTCTGGGTGTGTGCGCAGTTCCTCATCCTTTCTCCACAAGAAAAGCCTCTTCATCGTGGAGCTGCCTGGCAGCCATCATCATTGGCTGGTTAATCACCTCCCCGGCTTTCTGCTCGGGGAACTCTTCATCCGCTTTCTGCTCGGGGAACTCTTCATCCTTCTCCTCTGGTGGTGGGGGCCTGGGCGGAGGGACCTCCCCCTCAGGCAGGGGTGGTTTGGGAGGAGCAAACTCATCTGTCAGCTAAGAAAGAATTGCCAGGCTGTAAGTAAAGCCCCAGGAACGACTCCCCCCTGGAATTCTTTCCTTTCCTCTAAAGAGCATCCCCAGAAAAGCCACCCACATGCATTCCACGTAAGACCACCCACATTGAGCACAGCGACCACCTGCTTCCATCGCAACAGAAGCACATTTTCTTTCTTTTTCCTCCACAAAAAGCTAGCAGCTACTGTTTTGGACATATCCCAGGGAGGTGTGCACAACACTATCAGACGAAGGATTCTCAAGGAAGCTCTAAGAGCTGGCCCTGACTCTGTTGAGGGGAAGCTGCATAGGCAAGTAACTTCTCCTTGGATAATGAGGAGCAGCTAGACCAAATGACCTTTTGATTCTAAATGTCATGACTCTATTAATCACATAAGAAGCCATCCCAGCCTGGCCAGTGTGGTTCAGTGGTTGAGCATCGATCTAGGAACCAGGAGGTCACAGTTTGATTCCCAGTCAGGGCACATGCCCAGGTTATGGGCTTGATCCCCAGTAGGGGGCGTGCAGGAGGCAGCCGATCAATGATTCTCTCTCATCATTGATGTTTCTATCTCTCTCCCTTTCCCTTTCTCTCTGAAATTAATAAAAAATAAAAAGTAAAAAAGCCACTCCAGAATAGCCATCCCTGGCCCTAACCACCCACCAACAGCCAGCTGGAAGGAATAAATGAAGCACTGGAGGCCAGGGAAGCACTATTCCTTACCTATGGGCCCAGTGACCCAATTTTGTCCTCAACCAACTCAGAAAATTATATCTTTTACTGACATTAACTATGGGAAAGTAAATCAAATTAATGCCTTGATAATCTAGTCCCAAAGTCAAGCTATTTTCAATACTATCAGAGTAAATGTCTAATATAGTCACTATTTCTGATTTTAGAATTTGCATCTGCAAAATAATGCCCAGCCAACCTCCTCCTAAACCATTTACCTGTAGAGGAATAAATTCATTGTACTTAGGGAGACATCAAAAGATTTTAAATTATAGTTGGGGGGGAGGGTAAAACCTTTTTAATAATAAAAGGATTGTATTGCTTTTGTTACTAAAAATGTCAAGTAACAGTGATTCTCAACCTTCCTGATGCCGCGACCCTTTAATACAGTTCCTCATGTTGTGGTGACCCCCAACCATAAAATTATTTTCGTTGCTACTTCATAACTGTAATTTTGCTACTGTTATGAACTGTAATGTAAGTATCTGATATATCTGATATGCAGGATGTATTTTCAGGGGTCGCGACCCACAGGTTGAGAACCGCTGGGAGAAGAACCTACATAAGATTGTAACCGCCTCAGTTTTGCTATTATCAACTGGGAACACCTGAAACCTCACCACGAGGGTGCAGACTATTTCCCCACCCACTAACCTGCCCCACTAACTCCTCACTCAACACATCCACACTTACCGAGCCGGCTGCGTGGCTCCCGTGACTCCCCGCCACGCCCCATCGCAGCAGGCCAACGCCCAGAGTCCCGCCCACCCACGCACACCATGCGGGAGCGCTGGGTTAGGACTCCGCTAGATTTAGGAGTGAAAACCAAGTGGTGCCTCTAAGATTCAAGCAAAGGCTAAACAAAGGCCCCTGGTGACTGAGGCTCCAGAACACAATCTGCCTTTCTCTTGCTGCAGCCCCACACCCTGCTGCTCAACCCTCCCATCTCTGGGGTAACTTACGCGGAGCTGCTCAAGGTCTGGCGGAGGAGGTGGGAAGTCAGGCTCCTGGGGTTGGAAGGCTTCTCTGACCTTGGCCACAGCTCCCAGGATCCGATATCCCGAGTCCAGGAAGCTCTTTTGCAGGCCTAAACACAAGACGCCCTCACTCTCAGCTGGGCAGGTCAGCGCCCGGGAGCACTGTCTGTCCAGCAGCAGAACTGGTTTCCATGAACAAAAGCTGGATGTCAAGCTGCCAGTAAGCCCTGCAGGCAGTGACTGAGGGGAAGGGAGGTGAGGCCAGGCGGACGACCTGGGCCTCCCAGTCAGAGGGTCACAATGAATAGCTGTTCCCTGTAGAGCTCAGGACGCCTTCTTGCCTGTACAGCTAACAAGCACTCAGGACATTCCTGGGCGTGAACACTGGGCTCAGCTGGTGTTCGTCACCTCTCTTCTGAGATAAGTCTGCCCCACGCAGACGAGGGGAGATAACAGTGTCCACTGAGCACACATTCCCAGCAGCACTTCTCACCTTTCTCCCTGCTCCTTTGCTGCACTTGGCACTCAGCCGATTAACCCCTATGTTGAGTTGCTACTACTAACTGTGTCCGGTTACCTGGAATTCAGGAATCTACTCAAACTATTAGAAACTCCCTTAGGAAACCGAGCATGTCTGTAGTGATGTTGGGTTGAGGATACTAGCAGGATTCGGCCTGGGCTAGGGATGACTACATTCTACTCAGACAAGGCTGGAAACATTGGATGCTCGGAACAGAAAGGAATTCAGATGTTTCCAAGCAAAGGAGTGGTAACACCTTTCATAGGAGTGATGAAAATATAATGTAATTCAATGAAAGAAAACCCTGATTTTTTTGGTGTAGAACCAGGAGAACCAAAGGTCAAAGTAAGCCCTCCAGATTTGACAGAAATAGAGAACGTTTTACAGAGAAAAAGCATTTTAAGAAAAGCAGAAGAGAAATGATGCCAGTTACATAAGCTAAACAGTTGGTAGATTGGTGATCATGTATCTTTTGAGAAATTTCCAAAATCATGACTAAACAGGGCCAGGCAACATTATCAAGTGCAGAGAAACTAGCTTACAAAAAACTACCAGTATTGCAGAAAGTATCCTGGCCAGTACTATTGTAGATAGGAAAGGATTAACCCAGCATTCTCAGACGAAGAATCGGGAGGTGTTGCTCCCAGACTTTGTATGTGATGGCAGGGAGGTCCCCATCCTCTCACCACCTGTCAGCTTCCCGACTAACCTTTCAGCTGAGTGACCCGCACCGCACCCTGCTTACCGGGGTCAGAAATGTTTCCAGCCACGGCCTTTGCATCCATCACCATTGGGGAGATGGTTTTGCTCAGTTCGTCGGAGGCGGCCTTCACAGCCTCCCGGAACTTGGGATCCTCAGAGTTCTCCACCTCCCTCTTTGCCACCAGCAGGATCCGGTTGGCCCGGCGAGCAATGCTGGTTGCCCCAGCGACCAGCATCTGAGGCTGAATGTTGGCCATGGCCACTTTGCACTTGTCCAGGTCTTTTTTAATGGCTTCTTCGGAAGCATCCAACAGAGATTTGGTATCGATGGCTTCGTCCACCAGCCCTGTCAGGAGAACAGAAATGCAATTTAGTTTCTATTTTGAAGAACTGAGACTCCAAAACCCTGTTGTCCAAGTTTCTTATGTGAAAGTACAATACCCAGAATCCTCTCCTTCAGCTCAAAGTCCTCCTTACACAATCCAAAGCTTCCAGGTGAATACCACAGTAGAAAACACCGAGATGTGGCCCAGGAGGCCACCTAGACTCACGGCATTCACACAACAGTGGTCACTGGCCGCCTCCTGTCTACCACAGACGAGCTGAACTGCGACGGCTTCGGGAGGAAACAAGGATTGCGTCGGAAACCTTCGCCACATTATCTGTTACTAACGTTTTCTCCCTCCCATCTTACTCCCCAGCCATCTGTTGCTTGTTGGCAGCGTGTAGTGGCCCAGCTGAGCCACGGGCGGACTCCAATAACCCTCACAGCCTGCTTCTCGTGTCTGTTACCTCTCTTCAGGCACCTCAGCAGCTCCACTTTCATCTCTGGCTGCTACGGACCCCGGACCCCGTCACAGCAGGCTCTGCAGGGCAGCAGGGAGCCTACATCCGTCTCTTCCCTCCTCGCCTATCCCTCCCTCCACTGAGTGAAGAAGACTCCGAGGTGCCACTTCCACTGCGCAGGCACAGGTCTGGCGGTGTTGCTGTCTCCTTTTTTTCAAAACCGACGTAGTTGATAAGTTGGAGGAAACTCTGAGACAAGTTGTATTAAATGGTAGCTATTGTGGTTCCTTGAAATGTGAACCCACTGAAAATGACAGGGACACTTACTGTATCCACAAACACCGCCTCCCGGCCTCTGAAACCGAACTCTGGCTCAGACCGAGCAAAGACACTATTCAAAGAGAAGATAGGAGCTGCAACAATGACCATCACACCGGGAGGGCGGCATTAAAATAAAAGGGACTCAAAGAGTCTCTCTTCAGACAAAGTTGCAAGGCTTGAATGAGAAGCCGCCGCTGCGCGGCCTTAATCAGGGCCAAGTACACTGTCGAGCACATGACCGTCCCTTTATCCAATTACAGCTGAGAAACACAACCGGTCCTGCTCAGGTTTCTCAGGACTCACTCCATGGATTAGACAAGGACTCTGCACACAACTCTACCTGTCATTTTTTCAACATTATCGATCCACTGGTTCTTCATAGTCTCAAAATGTTCGTAAGCAGCTTGGTTTCCAGGATTCCTGAGCAGGATGCGAGCAGCGGAGACGACCTGGCAATGACAAAACCACCTTTAAACATCAGAGCACCCTTCCACTCCAATAGGAGCCCTCAGCGAAGCCTTCTCCTCTCCCCCTGCAGGTGGCACTATAAAGCCAAAAATCAGGAGGTCTCTCAGCCTGAACACATTAGGTTTGGTCTCATAAATAGCTCCCCAGGCAAAAGGTTTTCCTATCACAGCCTGATTTTAAGAAATTTAAAAAGTGACAAAGTAAATGGGTGTTCAGTTGATACCTCAAAATATACACAAAAGGGCTATTAAGCCCTTCATCTTCAAAAGCACCATTGAAAAAGATACTGCCCTGCCACCATGGCTCAGTCGGTGAGTGTTGACCCGTGCACCCAGAGGTCACTGGTTCAATTCCCGGGCAGGGCACATGCCTGGGTTTCATGCTCAATCCCCAACAGAGGGCATGCAGGAGGCAGCCAGTTGATGTTGATGTTTCTCTTTCATTGATATTTCTATCTCCCTCTCCCTTCCTCTCTAAAAATCCATTAAAAAAAACAAACAAAACATTTTAAATAAATAAATAAAAGCATTTTTTTAAAAAAGAAAGAAAAAGATACTAAACACTACTCAAAACTCATTAATGAATATTCACAAAAACTGTCTACAGTTAACAAAGTGCTTTCACAACTATTATCTTACTAAATCCTCACAACCTTGTGCTAGAGACAGGACAGGTACTTTCTCATTTTATAGTTGCAAAAGCCAAGACTCAGAAAACTTAAGTGACTGGCTCGAGAGCTCCCACGCAGTCACTGATGGCACTGGGGGAAGGGACTAATGTCTACTGAGCATGCCGTAAGTTGTAAGTTACAGGCTGCACACTCATCCTCTTACCACCCCCTTCCCCCCAACCCCCCACCCCCCCGGACAATCCATTAGGATGGAATTATCTCCATTTTACAGATGAGGAAACTCAAGGTCACAGAAGATTCCATGTCCAGATCTGTCTCCAAAGTCCTTGCTCCAAAGATGGTGTCTGAAGTCTAGTTTTCTGTTTCTCTTTTTTAGAAATCTTATTTTTATACAGAAAACCTATTGTGCTTTATATTCCATATCTCATGGAAGTTTTTAAAGAAAATTAGATGTTCATATTTTATGGGAGGTTTTTTAAAAGTTGGAGAAGTGTGACTTTTCAAGAGAATGAAACTTGTTAACATGCCATTTGGGCAAAAGTTGGACAATTAAAAGACGTGTTTATTTCCCCGTCTCTCCCTGTAAGTTCGCACCAAAGCCCAGACCAGCTCCTAATGCATCAGAGGCACTCAGCAAATATCTGCTGAGTAAACGAATGAAAAACTAGTAATGAGTTTTCTATAATTTGCTTAGAAGGAAAAATACACAAACATCACACTAAATGATGCTGAACTGATATTTTTAAGAACACCTATTACCTGTTAGAACTTTAATTCCTGTCCAATTTGTTTTCTTTTGTTCCCACTCTTCCAGTATACTGCTTACAGCATACTAGCTATATTTTGGTTATATGATTAATTAGAAAAAAGAAAACAAGTTATGGATACAAATGACTTTTTCTTTTCATCTCAAGGGATATGGGAAAAGGCATAAGCTCTAAAATCAAAACAAAGTAAGCTCCCAAGATTATCCGAATATTTCTCTAAGTGTGAATGAGTGTGTGTAGGGAAAGGGGGGGGGGAGGCTTTATTAATTTTTTCTACTTTCAAAACTAATCTATTATCATTGTAAAAAATTCAAGCAATACAAAAACAATTTTGATATGGTAGGTATGTGTTTTCTTCATAACATTTTACAGTAAATGCTCAAAATGTATGGAGACTGTCCTGTAATTAACCTTCATTACTGAGTACTGTAAGGTGAGACTGAAATGATGAAAAGTGAGCAAAAGTCAACCTGGGGCGTGAGTTCCCGGGCTGTCTTCACTGAAGCCTGAATGCCTTCCACCGCTGACTTATTAGCAGTTCCAACAGCAGCTGCCTTCTCGGCCGTGGCACCAAGCCTTCCTGAATGGTTCTCAAAGTTCGCTGCCCTCTCGTCAAACACCTTGAAGAATAAACAAAGGCGTTAAGAAAATTTATTTAAATAAAATGGGTCTGGCAGCCTAAGAAAGAGTCTCTCTTTAAGTAGAGGCAGCAACTACTCGAGCAAAGACTTCAGAGATGACATCACACCCCAATGAGCAAAACGATAGTCAACGCCAAGTCCTGGCCTTGCTACATCACAGGCCCGTGAATTCCCATTCAATCAATGCTTACCAAGGACAAACAGAACATTCGGCTCTGTGTCGTCTGTAATGAGGGGTTCACAGAATGTAAAGATTTAAATAATCCCCGTTCTCAAAAGGCTTATCCTAGTTTGAAGAAGACAGACAAACCCACTCCAGGCTCCAGTGCAGGTTGCTGGGTATATTAAAAGGCCAGAAGATCCACAGAGTCTTAAACCGAGCTCTAGAGCCTCAGGCCAGCATCCCTCCCAGATCAGTTACCATTAATGTTGTAAAAACTCTGCCCTGACCTCCACAGGAGAAATGATAGCTGGCTCACAATCAGGCCTGACCCAGGGGTAAGGACGCTGACTTTTATTATCCCAAGTGCAAAACAATCTACGGAATTGTTCTTTCAGCTCTCATATTTTAAAAAAAGTCAACTTCTCTTTTGACACAGATATTATGAAAGGTTGCATACTATGAAGGGGATGATTTAACTTAGATAAAGTGACAAAGGATCTGCTGTCATTGGTCAGGTTTACACTGCACAGAGCATGTCAGAAATTGCCCAGCAGAATCGTCCTCTTCTTTGCCTTCCCTGGGGACTACCTGCCCACACTCGGAGAGCAGCTCTGGTTCTGGCAGGCAGTCTACAGGTCTCCTGGTTCACTCGCAGGCTCCCATCTCATTGCCAGCATTCTGGGTTTACCCAATCAAGTCTCTTCCCCATTCTGGCCTCTTGTATGGACTCAGCTACCTGGGTTCTTGCCTTTTAATGCTCAAAATCTCTACCTAAATCTCTGATCTCCGAGTCTCCTTCACCTGGCCTCAGTCCTTGTTTCTTTCCTTGGCTGGTCTCCCACACCCTAGATCTACAGGGCTTCTGCCAACGTTGGTTGATCATCTCGACCCCAGCCCATGTCTGCTGCTCCCTCTGATTAAACTGACTGCTTCACTTGCTGTTCTTGTCACTCAATCAAAATTTACCCAGCACATACTATGTGCCAGACACTGGGGTAGGTGCTGAAGATACAAAGACGAATAAAACAAAATTTCTGCATCTCAAGTAGCTCACATTCCAGTGGGGTAAAAAAGGCCCATAAGCAGATATTCATAATAGAGTGTGCCATGTGCAGTAATAATAAAGCTAAGCACTGATATCATGGAAGTAAAAGGAAAGGCATTTAATCTATCCATGAAGTAAAGAATAATGGGATCAAAGATAAATAGGAATTAACTGAAAAACAATAAGAAAGAAGATAATTAGGCAGAGAGATAGAAAGAACAAAGACATGGAAGGAAGAAAGGACAGAGTATTCAGGAAATTATAAGCAATCAGGCATTGCTGGGGCATGGTCTGTGAGGCAGGGGTTGGTAGAAAATCGGTATATAGATCATAGTGCTCTGGCTTTCTCCTCTGTGAAAGGGAAGGTCCACTGAGGGTTTAAGCAGGAAAATATCAGGGTCAGATCTGTATTTTTATTTTATTGGTGGCCTAGTGACTGATTCAAGGAAGACCAACCAGAGCTGAGCAGCCAGCCATACAGCAGCAGGGGACAAGGTTCAGAACTAGAGCTGTGGCAACATGAGTGGAAAATGGAAAGGATTCAAGAAATACTTGTGAAATCAAAATAGCTTGTCTTAATTTACTGATGTGGGAAGATGATGGGGAGGAAACAGTCAATGGTGACTCACAAATTTCCGAGAGAGAGAGAACAGAAGGATAACGTGCTAAGGTACCTATGAAACATCTAGGTGGAGAGGACCAGCAGGCACAGCAGTTAGATCTACTAGCATAAAACTCAGAGATGTCTGAAATAAAAATAATAATAAATCATCCCAGCCTGAGGGGACCATGAGCTCTATAAACGTCCAGTAACCTAGCCTGGAGAAAAAAATGGGGGTCATTAACAAATAGTAACACAAACCTTCACCCACCAGTTCTGCATTGTCTTGGGTGCCTGACCTAACCCCTTTTCCTTTGCTGCTAATACTAGATGCTAGAACCAAATACTTGCTTTCCTAGATTCCTTTGCATCTGGGGTAGCCATGTGACAGAGTTCTAGCCAATGAGACATAAGCAAAAGTCTCCTGGAAGATTCCTAGGACAGCCTTTACTTCATTCATTCAGTCAGTCAATAAGTCAGTCATTCGTTCCCAACTCTGTGCCATGCATTGTTCTAAGACTGGGAATAAAGTAATAACAAAACACATTCCCTGCCCATATGGAATTTCATGCTAACGTGAGGGAGATAGACGAACAAAAAATAAGGTAAATATGTCAAATGCTGATAAACACTAAGGGGAAAAGTGGGATATGAAGATTAGGAAATCCCCAGGAGTGGACGTGGGGTTGCCATTGTAGGTGATGACCCAGAGGAAAGCTGAAAATAACGAATGAATAATACGTGTACCAGATAGTGATCTATGTAGGAAGATGAGAGGACAAATACAAAGGCCCCAAAGCTAGAACATGTAAACATAAACAAGGAATACTGGAATACAATGCAAGGAGCTCAATGTCGACAGAAGAGCATGAGGCAGAAGAGTGGTACCACCTAAGGTCAGAGTAGAAGGGGGACCAGATGCAGTGGGGTGCTGAGGCTCACGCCAGCTCACCAGGACCATGTGCCCATCTCTTCCCAACTGTGCCTTCCGTGACTTCACATTGCAACAGCCATGATGGGAGTATTTACATCATGGAAACAACAAACATTACAAATCAGAGCTTTTTGTTTTGGGGGATTTTTCCTGCAAAACTAGTCTACCAGCACATCACCGACTTAACTGTTCTAAGGACTTTGGCTTCATTCTGGGTCAGGTAGGAGTCATCAGAAGGATTTGAGTAGAAGAATGACATCAAATGATTTAAAAGGTCACCCTGATTTCTGTGTTGAGAACAGAGCACCTTAAGAGAGGGGTGGTTGTGACAGGAGTACTCCCATCCCTCATTTCTTTTTTTTTTTTAAATATATTTTATTGATTTTTTACAGAGAGGAAGGGAGAGAGATAGAGAGTTAGAAACATCGATGAGAGAGAAACATCGATCAGCTGCCTCCTGCACATCTCCCACTGGGGATGTGCCCGCAACCCAGGTACATGCCCTTGACCGGAATCGAACCTGGGACCGTTCAGTCTGCAGGCCGACGCTCTATCCACTGAGCCAAACCGGTTTTGGCCCATCCCTCATTTCTTACTTGCCTTGAACATGATGACTAGGGTTGCAACAGCAATCTCACACCATGAAGAAAAGACCCAAGAAAATCACAGAGATGCCAGCTTTCATGGTGTCAAGCTGCTGAATCAATACCAATGCTACCTACCTGCATGCCTCTTTTTATGTGATGAAAATAAAACCCATTTGTTTGCATCTCTGATGGTCAGGTTTTCTACTACTAACAACTAAAGACATGTCCTAAAGACATTCTTAACTGATACACTTGGTGACTGAAAGAAGAGGTGGCAGGACCTTCCCTCTTCTATCCTTCCAGCCTTCACCCACAGTACCCCAACCTGATGTACAATATAAACACATTTTACCTTTATAAACAAATCATTAATAAATAAGTGTGTGTGTGTGTGTGTGTGTGGTTGTGTGTGTGTGGTTGAGCAACAGAAGAAATGGAAGACTTTAGATACTCACCTCTTCCCTATTGGGCGCCACAGCCAACAGCTTGATGGGAGTTGTGGTATCGCTGAAAACATCTGACACCTCCTGAGTCATGGCCTCCTGCATCTGGGCTTTCAGATCCTTAAAAACATTATTTACAAATTAAAATTTCCAAAAATATCTAAAAAGCACATCTGCCAATGTCTTCACTTCACTGACATATTCATTCATTTATTAATTTGGTCTTTTATTCAATAAACAGCTGTTGGGTATCAACTATACTGAGCTAGCATGAAACAGGTATAAGATATGAATCCTGCCTTCTAAACAATTAGTGTGTAGTAGAAGAGGTAAAACTTGGCCCACAGTTCCCTAGAGACTGTTCTACCCAATCAAGAAATCTTACTTCCTTTCTTGGTGGCCTCTAAGAAATGGTACTGAGAATGATGGGGTTGAGCCCAAAGGCCTGGGAGAGAGAGAATTCCTCACCATTCCCAACGCTGCAGGGGCCTGTCAAATTTCTAAGCATTTTCTTACATTAAGAGGAAAGAAATCGTCAAATTTCTAAGCATTTTCTTACATTAAGAGGAAAGAAATCGAGAATGGGAATATTTTTATACATTTCATTTCTAAAGAACAGAATTCTCAGAAGTCATCAAATGCTCTTTTCACACAGTTATCACACTCAGTCCAATCTAAGTTTTCTATATTCACAGTTATCACACTCAGTTCAATCTAAGTTTTCTATATTTACCCAAAGAGTCTCAATCACCCCAGTTTCTCAAGGTGGGTGGTATAAAATAATATTTTTATTTTAATAATTATGTGTTTCTTTTAAAGAATATTAGAGAAGCCTGGCCAGTGTGGCTTAGTGGATTGAGTGTTGTTTCATGCACCAAGAGGTCACTGGTTCAATTCCCTCTCAGGGCACATGCCCAGGTTGTGGGCTGGATCCCCAGTAGGGGGTGTGCAGGAGGCAGCCAAGAGATGTTTCTCTTTCATCGATGTTTCTCTCTCTCTTTCTTTCCCTCTTCCTTTTACTCTCTCTAAAATCAATAAAAACATATTTTTAAAAAAGAATATTAGAGAAAATATAAGTAGCTCATCAAGCTCACAATTTCAAGATTATTAGAAAGTTTTCTTTTAAATAAACTTACTTGTTTAAAAAAGGAGTCCCTTTGAAGATAAATATTGACTGAAAAGTACAAGTGTCACATGGATAAAGCAAATATCACAAAATAGCTCTCAACTGAGTAAAACGGTAAACACAACTTTAGTTGCTGTCACCCACTGGTGAGCTTTTTAATGAGCAATAATGGCGCCTCAGATATACCTCATTAGCTACGATACTGCCACTGCGTGAAGCAACTGGTGAGCTATTTCCTAATAGGCTCTGAATTTCCTTACTTCCTTGGTCACACTCTTTTCACTTTCCCTAGACTAAAGAAGTATATATTTTTAAAAAGTCTCCTTCCCTCGTTTTTCAGTAAGTAAGCCTAAGAAAGGGAATGCTTTGTGTTCCTGAGTTCTACCTTTAAGGAGTCTTGGAGCTGAGATGCCAGCGCTCTCGCCTGGGGACTTTCCCCTTCCCCTCTGGCAGCCAGGTCAGCCAGCTGGGCGGTCAGCTGGTCCACTCTGTCACACTTTGCAAGAAGATCTTGGCGATACGGCCCCATCATGACATTAGCCAGACGATGCCCTTCGGCCACGAGCCCTCGGATGGCAGCCTGACCTGGACCGAGAGGAAAACACTGAAACTCACAGACGGAGAGGGCAACTGCAGTGCCATCTGGTAAGTTGTTTATTTTTTAATAATAATATTTATTGAGTTTTCCCCTCTAAAAATAGAAAAAATTGGGGAAGTACAGAAAAGTATAACTAATAGTTAAACCACTCATAATCCATCACTCACAGATTGAGATATTTGAACATATCCATCTGGTGTTTTTAATGCATTGCATGTTCCTCTGCACATACACATTTCACATACATTTCTCCTTTACAAAACAGAAGTCATACTATACATTAACTTTTATTCGCTACTTCTTTTTATTTAGCACTAGAGGCCCAGTGCACGAATTTGTGCACGGGTAGGTCCCTCCACCTGGCTGGTGATTGGGGCTGATCAGGAGGGCTGGCCTGCCAGGGGGAGGGACCATGGGAGGTTGGCCTCAGCAGCAAGCTAACCAACGGCCGATTCCGTGAGGAATTGGGCTCCCTCCTCCCACTTTCCTCCTGTCTGGGTATAGGGTGTGGGTGAACTAGATTCAGGGCTTTCAAGGCCCCAGAAGCAAGGTCTGGGTCAGTGCACGTCAAAGCTACTGGCCAGTCATCTGGTCATTCCGGTCGTTCCAGTCGTTTGGTCATTAACAGTCACTTAGGCTTTTATATATATAGATGAGCATTGTCCACATCATTAAATATTCTTCAAAAATCATGATCTAAAATCTATGTAATATTTTATAATACTAACCATAATTAGTTGGCCATTTACTTATTATTTACTCTGTTTATATACATTCTTGAATGTAACTCCTTAGAAACACCTCTAATTAAATTCCTAGAAGTCCGATTGCTGAGTCAATGGGTAAGAACTTTTTTGAAGCTCTTAACACATAATACCAGATTGTCATTCAGAAAGTTTGCTATTAACCAATTTATTCTTTCACCAATAAATTATATATCTGCCTGATTCCCCAACACTGGGAATCGCCAATTTAAAAATTTATCTTTTTATCCAATGAATACAGCAAATGAAGTAAACAGCTCTTTCAGCTTCAGCAGCGCTTGTTGTCATAATATGACCTAAATTCTTATAAATCCATTCCTAAAATCTCCCAGAAGTGAAAATTTCAGGTTATTAATTCCACTAGTGACTATATGATAAAGAAGCCCTCCTAACTGAAAATAACCTTGGTAGTTAAGTGTCTATTACTATTTTCAAAAATTATATTTAACTGGGTACTTTCTAAGGACTCTTGTAACAGAAACACGATAAAATGGAAGTATACATAGACTGAAAATAATTAGTTCAAAACTGCACTCCCAATCTGAGGACCTTTCTATTTGCCCATAGCAAAATTACTTATTCACTAATGCTTCTTGATTAAATCACAGACATCTTATCAGCTACATTGGAAATGGAGTTACTGTAGAATGACTCACTCACCAGTGGCTAAGAAGCCCTTCTGCACTTAATTACAGATGATACAGGATCTCTATCAACAACTTGCCTATTTTCACTGAGCCCAGTCTGAAGATGGTTAAGTGCACTGATGGCCTTACCGACTCCTCGGTCGTCCACTGTGGGATTATCAATCCACCGCTGTGCTTGCTCAATCTTGCCCTCAAGGTGGACCGCTGCTTTGGCGGGTCTGCTATTGGCCACAGTCCTATTGGTTTTGGACTGCAAGTTCTGCAGGGCAGTGGCCACCTGCTTGGCCAATGCTCGGGCCTCTGGGGAATCTCCTTTCCCCCTGCAGAGAAAAAACAGCCTTTCTGTCCCACACAGACACTATTTACATTGCGATGATGTAATTGCTGATACAAATGCTAATGAGATGTCAAATTGCTAATAATTATGAACTTGGTTTGAAAGAAGAGTAGTTTATCTATTTGGCCCTTAAATAAGACATTAATCATCTAAATTCAGATAGTTTTGTCCCAGTTAAGACAATAAATATAAGTTTGGATCAGTTTAGCTCAATGAAGAACACCCATTGGTAAGCTGAGCTCAATCAGTCGTCACTGCGTCACTGCGTTAGCTATCCCTTCAGCCTGTCATCTCTGAAAATACTAGTTCCCTGAGGAACTAGGTGGGCCCAAGTATCCATACTTGTTGTGTAGTAGTAGTTGAAGTAGTTATAGAACTAGTAGTAGTTTTAAAAAAAAAGCATTAAAAAAAGTTTGCTATAAAACAGTATGCCTTGTTTCGCTGGCAGCAGCCTCATACATATCATATTTACTGCATCTCTTGATCGTATCATTTACTCTTGTGCTTAATTTAATCTCATGTTGTTTTGTATAGTAATATGCTGTACACTCTTGTAGCCTAGGAGCAATAGGCTATACCGAATTACCTATAAAGGCACGTTGATGTATGTGTATGTGTGTATGTATATGTATATGTATATGTATATATATATGTATGATATGTATGACATAGTAATAGATCTGTTGTATCACCATTACCGTTAATTCTTTCCTTATTATTAAGAAACACTAATGAGTGCCTGTTATGTATGTATATGGACTTGTGTTAGGGTGCTAAGAATAGAGTCTCCAATTTTGAATATTTTAAAATCTAATGAATGTAAACAGACTATAACAATGGGCTAATTTTAATGATCATTGACCTAACTATATAGACATTATACTTTACAAATGTCAAATTGTGCATTTTCCTAACCTAAATAATTCAAAACTTGGGCCTAAAGAAGAGATCCTCAAATGACTGGGCTTGATATACAATCAAATTTCAGCTGTTACCTCAATTGATCTCTATCACAACCTCCTGCCTAAAGTATGTCTACCCTGCTCCCACCCACTTCCTACCTCATGATCCTAGGCAAGAGTCTGCTTTCTCAACCAACAGTGCCCCCTTAGTTAGTGTGAGACTTGAGAGAATGCTAAAGCATCTCTCACTGGAAAAGGGTTAGGCACGCTCCCAGGGAAGAGCAGGAAATGCAACATGAAAAACAGAATCTCACAAGATACTTGACTATGGTTATCCCTAGGGAAGTGGCTGGAGGGCTGACATAGGAAAGAAGCAACTTATACTTCTGATGCTGAATCTGTTTTTTTAGCATGTGCTACAGGTTTTATTTTTAAGAGAGTAAAACATCTATTAAAAGGAAAAAAGCAACACTTCTTCTTATATAATTAAAGTGGGTGCCATTGCCCTGGCTAGGTGGCTCAGTTGCTTGGGCATAGTCCCAGGCACCAAAAGGTAACTGGTTCGATTCCCAGTCAGGGCACATGCCTGGGTTTCAGACCTATCCCCAGGAGGGGGCATGCAGGAGGCAGCTGATCAATATTTCTGTCACATCAATGTTTCTCCCATTTCCTCTTCCTTCCTCTCTCTATAAAATCAATAAAAATATATATTTTTAAACTAACTTTTTTTTTAAAAAAGTAGATGCCATGAAAGCCTTTAAGAGAAGCTGTATTTAAGGATCTCTTGTAACTGCTACTTAAGAAACAACATTTCTCAGGAAGGAAGAAAATATCTTCATACTCCTCCCCCCATTCTCCTCTCACCCCAGGAAACTTTTCATAGCTACATACAAAAATTAATTTCCATAGCTACATACAATAATTAATATACCCAGGAAACAGATATGTCACAAACACTATCTAGCAGAAAAAGTCCTACCTTAAAAATGGAAAATATAGATCTCAAAAAAGGAGTTCTTACCATCATTAATTAATTTAAAACTATGTGATCAGCAATAAGTCATTAAACTTCAATAGTGTCCATGCAAAAACAGAGTAATATCTAACTTAGTCACATAACACAGAATCAATGAGAGCACAGTGAAGAGCATCGTGTATGTGCTTAGGGGGAAAGGAGAGAGATAAAGGGGCAACTTAAACAACTAAATACATACTGTCTCCGTAAGTCTGCTAATTTAGAAGTCAGAGCAGCGATTTCTCCAAGAGAACGTAGAATGTCATCTCTCTCTTTAGGATCATCACATAAGTCTGCTATTTTTCGAGCTTCAGCCAAAGCCCCTCGAATCTGTTCTTCTCCTTCTGGTCCACCGTTTGGATCTGCCAGCCAGTTCTACACACAGAGACATGGAAAAGCAGCGCACTGTGGCCCACTCAAAAGCCACATCATGGCACCCTGAGCAAGGCCGTCAGAAACATTTCACAAGCAATGACAAGGCAACCAGGAATGGTTTTTGAAATGCTGATCATAATTGTTTTACACACACTCCTCGCTCAGGTAAAATCAAATCAATCCTCATCTTTTAAAAAATAATTTTTCCCTTTGCCATTAGAATAAAATATCCTTACAAGCTTTATCTCATCTTTGAATTAGTCACACCTTATTAATTCTTCGGTTTCTCAAACATTTGTGTTTCTCTATGCAATGCAAACTTTTTACAGTACAGTAGTATCAGAAAACCTTAACCCTTAACATTGCTGTGACCAAATACAGCTGCGGATTCTGAGAGGAACAGTTTTAATACACTGTCATCTATACCAGGAACTGGGATTCTCTTGGTATTCGGACTGCTTACTATTAACTAATTGAAGTATTCAAAATTAAGATGTTTATCAAAATATACATAAATATTAGTCTAAACCTGTGTTAGTAGGAGAGGTGTTATCATTGGTAACTGCTGGAAATTAATCATCACTTACAAACATCCATTATCCACCCACAGTAACTGAGAGAGAGGGAGGGAGGGGAGAAGGGAGCGGTAGACAGAGGATATTTACGGTACATTTCTTTCTCTTTTATCTCCCACCCTCTTAAAAATCGTCACTACTACCTGGGCAGCATCGATCTTCTTGGCAATGCTCTGCTTTGAGTTTGTCATGGCCTCCAGTTTGCGGGCTGCATTCTCCACTTTGGCTGTGAGCACGTCCAGACCCTGAGACACCTGCTGGGCTTTCTGCATGGCCACGGGCGAGGCTCCTTGTCCTCTACTCAAAACAGACAGATGCTGTCATTGCACCCTCTCCGATACTTAACAGCAAAATGTCAGTAAAGACACAGGACATGTCATTTCTGCTAACACGCTTGTCTTTTTCCTTTTCTTCAGTAAGTCTGAGACAGCCCAAGAAAATACAGAGATAAACAAAACACCCAAACCATCTACTTTCTCCTTTGTTTTTAAAAATACACATTAGCTTTATGGAGCGGCATAACCATTTTAAAGACCAGGCCTGCAGATTTTGATAGTAATGATTCTCCTCTTGGTGGGGATTACATAATCAACTCTAAACTTCAGGGGGAAAATGTGCCTGCGATCTTATTGCTATGGAGGGTTTTGTTACCATAGTAATGTGTGCTTTAGAAATAAACAGCGCATTAGATTGTCTTATTTATGGGCAAGCACACATTGAAACTGTTTCCGGAGGCAGCATGCGTAGTGTTACTGAGAGCACACCATCCCTGGGGCCAAACAGAACTGTGTTCACATTCTGCTTCCTGGTACCTGTGGAACCGTGTTTGTGATGTGTAACCTTCTAGGGCTTTAGTTTTCTAACTTATAAAATGAGGGGTGCCCTGCTTATCAAACAAAGTAGCTTCAAGCAAAAAAACATATTTGAAAACATTCTGGTAATAGAGCAATACACATATATAACTATTAATATTATTGAATTGTCATCTATACTAATAAAAGAGTAATATGCTAATTAGACCAGGAGACCTTCTGAAGACCTTCCGGTCGTCCTTCCAGACAAAGCCGGGGCTTGGCCGGCCTGCAAACCACCCCCAAACGGCCCTCAGCCCCTTGCCCAGCCTGGCCATGCCCCGTAGTGGGGACCCCCACCCTGAAGGGTGTGTGGCCAGCCTGAAAACAGCCCTCAGCCCCTCACCCAGGCTGGCCACATCCCCCAGGGGGGACCCCCCCTCACTCCAATGGGGGCGTGGCCAGCCTGCAAACCGCCCCAGGCCCCTCGCCCAGGCCAGCCCTGCCCCCCAAGGGGACCCCCACCCTGATCCAGGACCCCCTTCAGGGTAAACCAGCTGGCCCCCACCCGTGCACCAGGCCTCTATCTATACTAATAAAAGGGTAATATGCTAATTAGACCGGGAGACCTTCTGGACATCCTTCCGGACAAAGCCATGGTGGTGGGGCTGAGGCAGAGGTGGTTAGGAGCGATCAGGCCAGAAGGAGAGGGCAGTTGGGGGTGATCAGGCTGGCGGGGGTGATAGTTGGGGGCGAGCAGGCCGGCAGGGGGGCGGGGCAGCTGGGGGCGAGCAGGCCGGCAGGCAGCGTGGTTAGGGGCAATCAGGCAGGCAGGCAGGTGAGCGGTTAGGAGCCAGAGGTCCTGGATTGAGAGAGGGATGTCCTAAATCGGCAGTCGGACATCCCCCGAGTGGTCCCAGATTGGAGAGGGTGCAGGCCGGGCTGAGGGACACCACATCCCCCCAACCCCGTGCATGAATTTCGTGCACCAGGCCACTAGTTATTATTATAATGAACCTAATGATAATCTTGAATATCTGCCTTCCACTCCTATGCAATATATAAATATTAAAAATAGTTAGTACTGAGGGAAAAAAGTACATGGTGATGAGAAACCACTGTTTCCCATCAAATTTCTAAAGAACTAATTTTGCTATTTTCCTAAGAAGTGATATGGTACTACTACCAAAAAAAATTATTTGAGTTGTAGAAACTTCTTTTCCCTTGGTAGACACTTTCCAACTCATAACACAGTAAAACTTTCCCTCTTTTTACCAGCTCAGATTTTGTAATCTACCCAGACTGGTAAGCTCAGTGTTAGTGTCACAAATTTGTCATTTGGTAGAATGGGATGATTTGTTGTCCTAACCTGAGTTTCTGATTTTAGGATAAAATCCAAAACATATTTGCTTCCTTTAATAATAGTATGAATCCACCACTCATTTTTCTACCCACTTTATAAATTTATCTTATTTCCATGTATATCTATACTTTAAGTATAAACTCAGTATTTATTGCAAGGTATATAAAAGGTATTTATACCTTTTACTTGTATTTATAAGTGATGCTTCCCTTTACATGGCAGAGGAGTGCAAGACTTTTAGGAATATACTGGTCATGATTTGCTTTTTTTCTTTAAATCCAGTAATTTACGATGAGGAACCTTTTTGGTATGAGTCCAACTTTGAAAAAGTAAAAATACTTATGGGTTATATCGTTTTTTTCATTAAAAATTAAAAGGTTAGCCTAGCCGGTTTGGCTCAGTGGATAGAGCGTCGGCCCACAGACTGAAGGGTGGGTTCGATGTCAAGGACATGTACATCGGTTGCAGGCTTGATCCCCGGCCCTGGTCGGGGCTCCTGTGGGAGGCAACCAAATGATGTGTCTCTTTCAGATCGGTGTTTCTCTCTCTCTCTGTCTCTTCCCCTCCCTTCCACTCTCTTTAAAAATCAATGGAAAAATATGCTCAGGTGAGGATTAACAAAAATAAATAAATAAAAGTATATTGAGTCCCCATGGGGGGAAAATATATTCTTACCAACTAGAAGCCCTAGGTGACAGAATCAGAGAATATCAATGAGGAAACTTACTGAGCTTCAGCCATTAAAATGTTAAATAGTGAGGCATATTTAAGAAAGAATGACAGGGAGATAGCTTTCTAGTCTTTCATCATGAAAGGATATTGTAGGCTCCACTGTGAATTGGGCCCATAACAGATTAATGGTTGATCCCATGAGTAATTATCTCATTCTCTTGCTCAAATTCATCTTTCTCTGAGCACATACGACTGAGTACTTGAGAATTCCAAGTGAAAACTGTCTACCACACTGTGAAAGGCTGCAGACAAAAGAGCCAACAGTGAGAAATCAGAAGAGCCAGAATCTCATCAAAAGCTCTGGCATTTCTCCGAATGGGGACAGAACTTCTTTTTGTCCTTTTTGTGAAGTTCTTGTCATGCTCGTGACAGGGGAGACTGCTTCGCAGCAGGAGAAAAAGGCTCACTGAGTTCAATGATACCATTTATTCGTGCTGTTTCTTCCCCCACCCCCTTCAAGGTAGAGGCTCTTAACCTGAAGCCCCGGAGCTTCCAGGCCACACTGGATCAGTGAACCTCTGGAAAGTATATGTAATATTGTTTACATGCACTTTTTAGGTAGAGATTAATGGCTTTCATTGGACTATAAAAATGATGTTGGTCCATAAAAAGGTTAAGAACTACTCCTTTAAGAACTGTATTCTTAAGTCTATTATGTTAATATATTTGAGATCGGGTGTAATGATGTGCAATATGTCAAAGAGTGTTTCTGAGGCCTGTTTGTATGGCAACCCTGCATATTCCAATTATCTCAAGATATTTCATGACAAGCTGACCTATGAACCAGGAGGTCATGGTTTGATTCCCGGTCAGGGCATATGCCTGGGTTTGGGGCTCAATCTCCAGTGAGGGACATTCATGCTTCTATCTCTCTCTCCCTCTCCCTTCCTCTCTGAAATCATTAACAGATATTTTTTAAAAAGATATTTCATGACATTCTTGAAGCAAAATTAAACTTCATCTATACTAGTTTCTCATGTTACTTAATTTTTTCCCAATGTCCATACTATAAAATTCCATAACAATTAGGATCTTTTAGAACTTCATTAACTCTATATATGAGTTCCCCCCAAAAAACCCATACATATTATACTGAGTTTTCTTAATAGCAAAGCATATATATTTAATTTATAGGAGGAAAAGTTCTAAAAGCCAAGACTTGAGCTGGGTGAAAGAATTAAGAAACCAAACGAATAATGATGAAACAGAAACTCAAAAGAGCCTAGAAATGACCAAGCTAAAGAAGGAAAAGTTCACGTCACTCTCCAAAGAATTAATAGAGTATGATGACCATTTTGTTTATTAGCCAAAGACAACACAGTAAAATTAACAGACTTGCTTCTGAGTCATCCGTCAGGAGTGAGATACTATCTATGACCGACTACTGCTCTGGTAAGAGCGGAAGAACTGTACCTGGCTCGGAGGTCAGCCACTTGGTCAGTCATCTGCCCTAGCATCTTGCAGGTTCCCAGGATCTCTCTACGTTCTTTGCCTGCACAGAGTTCACCAACTTTTCCAGCTTCATCTAAGATCTGCCTGATGGCCTGCTCACCAGCATCCCCTAAAATAAAGAGAGATTCAATATCTACATTGTTAACACATTAATTATTTAGAGAGGATGCTTTACAAGTCATTTCATTCATGAAAGAACAGATGCTTTCAAACGACAAGATGAACAGAAGACAATACATCTGATAGCTAATAGCCAAGCAGTGCCCTACAACCACAGATCCTGCTGAAAAAGATCCTTGGCACCATAGCCATCTGGAGATAAAAAGCAGCTTGTGGTAAGAATATGGATGATGAAAATAGGCTCTAACCATTTAACTGTACTCAGCACCTCCAACCTCCAGTAGGCTTTTCACATTCATTCAAATGTTTATCTAAAACTGAATAAATATTAGATGAGAAAATCCATAAAGCCTAGCTCAATAAACTATTTGGGGCTTATCGTTATATAAGCTAACTTTGGTTTCCAATTCTTATTGGCATCATTATTTAATCTGCTTAATTAAGTACTTTGTTGACATAAACGGAAATATGCCCTAAGGGAATAAGAAGAGAAGAGCTTTTATTCAAAATAATTACCTTTCTGATTCAGGGAAGTGGTGAATCAAGAATTTTGTGAAGAATGCCCAGTTCAGCTCGGTTTATTCCCCATGATAACAGTTGATTAGTTTATGTCCTCCATCCTTCTAAGACCTAGTAACGCTTCAATTAGTCAAAACTAATTGAATGGTATATGCCCCTAAATGTTGCAGTAGTTATCTCAGGATTATGAGAGTCTCGGAAGATTACTGTCTTTTGTCTGCTTGGTTTTTAGCTTTTTCTTGCATCTACTTGAAAAGTACAACCAGAGGGTTACCTGCGGAGGCACTGGGATCACGAAGCCAACCTTTGGCCTGGTTCAGTTTGGAATCTATGGAGGCCAATGCTCTCTTCATGGCTTCAGTGTCCTTTCGAAGAGAAATACCACAATTATTTCATTTGCAAAAATTGAGACACCATGGCACAAGGTAAGACAGAGAAGTGACAGCATTAACAGACACTAGAGGTAAGGTAATCCTACAAAGCCTTAAAAATATTCTCATCACACCATAACGCTTATTTCTGTCAAAATGCAGCATCTTGCATGCAACTCTTCCGTTAATTCTATTGTTTGCTGACCTCCCTAGTGCTAAACTGTGAAAACTGGTAAGACAGCTCAAGCCAAAAAATGCTTAATGTCTGCAGCAGGAAAAGCCCTGTTGCCACATGCCTCGGTATCAGCCTTTCCACTAGTCAACATTCACCTACTGCAGCTCTGCCAGGCCCTCCCGCTCAGCTCAGGGGAAGCTTCATTAGCATGTGGTGCCACAAATCACAGTCCTTCTACATCTTGTTTTGAAATACACACATACTGGATAATGTTTTACTATATTAAGTTAATCTAAAATAATTGGAATTACTGGTTGGAAAATAAATGAAAATTGTTAATCAAGCAATTTAGTTTAATTCCACAAATAAATCACTAAATGTAATGCAAGAAAGAAGCATTTTTCCGGCCTTCCCTGCCACTCCTCATCCTTCGCTCCCTTACATCCCTGACCTGGAAGAAAGGCAGGATGAAATAAGTGGGTCTCGACGGATATTTACAACACGATTCACAATGACTAACAAAATTAGCATAAGATCTCCCAGGACATAGCATGAGAAGGTGAAACAACAGACTAGTCACTTAAAAATACACATATACTTTAATAACGTTTTTAAAATATAGAAAAATGCACAGAACAATATAACCAATACCCATGTATCCATCCTCACAATTGACAGACTAACCATCTCTCAAGTCTCTTACACTTTAAAAGACAGCCTATCTCCCTTTCGTTCATTCACCAACCCACAGAGTTAACCTCTGAAATTCTAGGCAATACCCCATATCCCTAACTTCAATTTTCAGTCCTGCAAAACTTGTGTTCTTAAAGGTGTTGTACCACCTGTTTTCCACACGGGGGCACCAGGAGCATCTCCCCACCCCCACTTCCAATTCAAACAAGACCAGGCACTAGCACAAATAAGAGCTGGGCGCACTCAAAGGCTTACAGCAGTGGTTCTCAACCTTGGCTGCACGTTAGAGTCACCTGGAATCTTTTTAAAATCCTGATTTCTGGGCCTCATCCTCTGGAAATTCTGTTTCTTTGTTACTAATGTTGTGGTCCCACCCCATAACAAAGAAACAGAATTTCCGGAGGATGAGGCCTAGAAATCAGGATTTTAAAAAGATTCCCAGGTGATTCTAATGTGCAGCCAAGGTTGAGAACCACTGGCTTAAAGGGTCAGGAGCCTGATCTCAGCTTTTCCTAAATGCCCATTCAAATTATAGGGCTCTCAGCTTTGGATTACCCCCTTCCCCCATCGAAACAGATACAGATTGTTCTCCTGATGCAACATTGGCTCTAAGAACAAATTCTCAGCCATAACTACAGAGCAGTGAACTAAATTACTGAAAAAAATGAAAATAAATTTGTTTTATTATCAAGTTATATGGAATTATGGTAGCTATCTACCAATAAGAGGCAGAGTGGATCTGTTTCAAAATATCTGTTTCAAAATATCCATTTGTGATTAATACACGTAGACAGGTGGCATTTTTAAAGTGCTTTGCTTCTCAAATGGTTTAAATGCCTGCTTCTCCTCTATCTCGTTCTACTTTCACCTGTGCAGCAAACCTGCCTTCAAGAGTAAGACAAAGTTAGCTTAATTCCAAATTAGTGTGGCCCAAATCAATATCTTTTCAAAGAGTATTTCAGGCATCTCCTGACCTTAGAGTTAGCCTTTCGTGTCTAACACAAGTTATAGGACTTCGTCTAGAGACAGATTTTTTTAAAAAATTCACAAGCTCTCACCTAGAAAGTATGTGCACACTCTGAAGAGATATTGCATCCATGTAAAAATAATTAATTTAAAGTCTATTAATAACCATTTCTCCACCTATTTTCAGTGAAAATATTATTTATTACATTTCAAAAATCTAAATTCAAGAGAAAACAATGTTCAGAAAAACTTTTTAGTGTCTATCCTAGCATTTAAAGGCTACTAGTTAGCAAATACTTTAACTGAGCATTTCCTGCATGCTAGGTTGTTGGAGGCATTTTTCCCTCATTACTTCACAGAACCTCAAATTTAAATGTAATTTAATTTTACAAATTGAGAAACAGGGCTCTTCTGTCCTAGAAAGCCAATTTGATGTCAGGTTCATCAACATCAAATGTCATTATTTTCTATTACATGAAGCTCAAGGCTTTTTTTCTTTTAACAAAGAGAGTTGCCAAAGAATCTACTAACCTTCTCTAACACTCAGCAATCTTTGCCGTGTCGATTTTGACTTTGGTTAGTACTGCCCAGGAAATAAGCTCTAGAAGCAAATTAATAACTCGCACTAACCTGAATGACTGCTTTTATTCTCCATTGCCCAAAAATGATTTCAAACACAATGGAAAAAATTGGACTTGCTCTATTATCCTAAAATATCATTGCTTTTTTCCCCTCCCTAATAAAGTGTGAATGGCTACCACACTTCAAGCAAAGACTCTAATTCTCAGGAAGTGAGTAATTTTCTCCTCACTGGGAGATATGACATCAAGAAGTTAAAGTTAAGCCTGGCAGGTGTGGCTCAGTGGTTGAGCATCAACCTATGAACCAGGAGGTCACAGTTCCATTTTCAGTCAGGGCACATGCCCGAGTTTAGGGCTTGATCCCCAGTAGAAGGCATGCAGGAAGCAGCGAGGCAGCCGATCAATAATTCTCTCTCATCACTGATGTTTCTATCTCTCTCCCTCTCCCTTCCTCCCTGAAATCAATAAAAAAAAATTTTTTAATTAAAATTAAGAGATGCTCATTTCCCCCTAAAAAGAATCAATGGCAAATTTAGAATGAAGCTGCATTTTTAAAGTGGGGATTTCAATTAGTTACCAAAGTTTTTAGTAGCGTGGATTTTAGACAATTTTAGAGATTTAAAACAGTCACTAAAAGGACTACCTTAAATTCTTTCTAGGATAGGGCAAATTTTAAATCATCATTTTAAACACAATACATTTTAATGCCATAGCTATTAAAAACAAAAATGTCTGTGGGAACAAATATTCAAATCTCCCAGAATCTCATACATATTTCTTTTGAAGGGCAGTGTTTATTGTGGGATCGACAGAATTCTGTCATAAGCAACGTAAGTATGTTAACACTGGATGTGATATAAGCAAATTCACTGAACAATTGGGACTGTAAGTCACTGTTAAGATATATTTATAACCCTAGCTGGTTTGGCTCAGTGGATAGAGCATCTGCCTGCAGACTGAAGGTTTATGGGCTCAGTCCCCAGTGGGGGGCATGAAGGAGGCAGCCAATCAATGATTCTCTCTCATCATTGATGTTTCTATCTCTCCTTCTCCCTTCCTCTCTGAAATCAATAAAAATATATTTTTAAAAAGATATATTTATAAAGGATGGAAATAATCATAACCCTTGTGGTCAACCATACTGTGTACCCAAAGCCTTCAGTTAGACCTTGTCATGTAAATCTAAGTATCCAGGATACAATCTGGGTATGACACAGAAGAGAAAAAAGGGCATCTTCATTTGAGTATCGTCTCTGTAAAATCTCAGATTTGGGAAAGAGAGAGGTCTCCCATGATCTCTTCTCTGAGTTCTTTGGTTCTTTTTTTTAAGAGTGGGTGTAAAAACGGCCAGATCTAGTCACACAGCTTTAGCAACAGCTGGTCCCCTCCCACCACGGTCCCTTTTACTGTAAAACTCTTATGAGTTCATGTTTTAAATGAAAAACCACAGTGCCTTGGCACTCCTCCCACATACCAAGAGGTGGAGGAACAACCTAAAAGAACTCCTTCTTACATACATTCCCAGGAACTGAAACAGTCCTGAAATTTAATTTCAAGTTAGAACTAAGTAACACAGAATAGTACTAAGAACCACTGAGTTCCTTTTACAGACAATCAAGAGGAACTGTGGTAGGAAAGTAAAGTCCGGCAATCACAGCGTCTTGAAAACTGTAAATATGGGACTAAGGATCCCCTCTCTTTCACTGCCCAACCTACTCTCCCTTTTTTCCATGAACACCTCCCCATCCTACTCTTCCTACTCAAAGATGTTTCTGGAAAGAAGAGACTGGGCAGTAGAATAAAATCTTACAAACTGCATTAAGCAATGGCAGAAGGCTGCCCAGCCCTGAGACTTCAAGCAATTACCCGCACAGGTTTGAGCTCCCCATCTCTAAGACTACTGGTACTTCCCCAGCTCTAAAACTCTTTGCCATCTACGAGCACACAATCAGAATACCAACTAGAGATCACTTGGATCAGAAGGGAAACTTCAATTCCTTTAACATTTTGGTCTTTTCTCCTGTTCACAGAGAGGGGACAAAATATCATAAATGCCTGAATGAATTACTGATCTCCAACTCCAAGAGATAAATCTTTTGTTGTATTAGCTCCTAAAATAAAACACTAGACGCCTCATAAAAAGCTCACATGCAGCCTTATTTTTTCAAAAATGAAATAAAAATCAACCCTTAAATCCCAAAGGTCTGCAGTAAGGGCAAGTATTAGAGGATTGCATGTTCTAACCAAGTTTCCTTCTTTGGAAGAACAGAGTAATCTGTGGAAGACATCTGAGTCATTCAAGCACCACCAGCCTAGGCCCTCAGTGGGAGGGGACTCACCACAGGAACTAATTCTGAGTAACATATCTAATGACCCAAGGCACAGTTGCAGGAGCACCTATGTGGGCTCAAAAATTCTTAGCAATAAAAAGGTTTTAAAATTTTTTCTCACTTCCTCTTGATTCTCAGCATGCATCAAGATACAAGTAATAAAAACACAAAAACGTATATATAGATTGCTAAAGGGGTTGAATTAGAATTGTTGAACTCACAAATTCTTGTGTTTCATAATGTATTCCCTGGAAAAATGCTAAACTAATTTTTAATGATCACTTATCAGATAATTGTTGATTTAAAGAGGGGGAAATTTTTACTCTCAAAATAAAATGAAGTATGTTGCCCTTGCCGATGTGGCTCAGTTGGTTGAGCATTGTCCCAGGCACCAAGAGGTCTCCAGTTCAATTCCCAGTCAGGGCACATGCCCAGGTTGCGGGATTGATCCCCAATGGGGGACGTGTAGGAGGCAGCTGATCAATGTATCTCTCTCATTGATGTTTCTCTCTCTCTCCCTCTCCCTTTCTCTCTCTCTAAAGTCAATAAAGTCAATAAAAACATAATTTTAAAAAATAAAAACAACAATAAAATTAAGTATTTAGCCCTAACCAGTTTGGCTCAGTGGATAGAGCATCGGCCTGCGGACTGAAGGGTTCCAGGTTTGATTCTGGTCAAGGGCATGTACCTTGTGGTTGCGGGCACATCCCCAGTAGGAGGTGTGCAGGAGGCACATCTCATCGATGTTTTTAACTCTCTATCCCTCTCCCTTCCTCTCTGTAAAAAAATCAATAAAATATATATTTTTTTAAATTAAGTATTTAAAGTCAAGGTATTTTTAAGTTTGTAAGTATGCATTTTGAATGTAGGTATGGAGGTAAAATGATCAGCTACTGCCTCTTTAAGATCTTCACTTATTTAGCAAGATGTACTTTTACCAAGAACTTTTTCCACTTACTTTCTTCCCCCACCTTTCTAGAGGAATCATCACTTTCCAGGAGAAAGCTGCACCAATAGGGAAGCATGAAACAAGTATGGTAAGACAAAGTTAATTCTTTATTGGTAGGGGCAAGAGGAGGTAAAAGATACCGAGTGTATTAAACAGAATAGGAAGCCAGAGGTTGCAGACAGACAATAGGTCTGATTAATCCACTGCCTACAGCAGAGCAATGTAAGATGCATAATGCTGCTAAAACGGAAACATACCCAAAACCCAAGTTACCAACTTCCATTTTCAAGGTAAAATCTCTTTTTCCTAAGTACTCTTGTAACTAATAAAAATGATTACTCTTAGGGGGAAAGAGGAGGTAGAGTGGATGGGAATGGGGTTATGAGTGAGATCTGTCATATATAACATTTTATAGCATTTTGCTTTTTGAACCAGGTAAATGTATAACAAAGACAAAATGAAATTACAAATAAACATTTATTGCTCGTCCTGATGTCATTATGTACTTGGGCTTCTTTTGGCTGAACTAATTTTATTTATTTTCTTTCACTCTGCTGGTTTTGCATCCTAACAGCCTGGTTCCTTCCAGAGCAGCATAAAACCGAGGCAGCTACAAGACTACACGGTGGACCCCAGGTCCATTGCCCTTGTATATCCCATCCCCCTAAGTGTCTAATCCTCATCCTGAAACAATCAACTGACCACTTTTTTTTTTTTAAAGAAGTAGCTCTCAACACTCACACACACAAAAAGCTCAGTACCACTTATTTACTAAATGATGGCTGGCTCTTCCACTCTGAAAACAGATAAGCATTAAGCCTGCAATTCCTGCTCCTCCTTTTTACTATTTCTCATCTGCCGGAAGCAAAGCAGAGAGAATAAGGAAAGAGATTAGGTTATGGGACCACGAGGTCATGGAGAATGATGGCTGATTCAAAGATCAGACAGCAGAACATGCAGTGAGCCATGGACTGAAGTCAGGAAGAACTTTAGATACACCTTCCTTTTCTCCTTTTGATTTTGAAGACAAGGATTATTGTGAAAGACAGATGCCCCATCTAAACTCTCTAGCCTACCCATTTTCATTATGGCTTAGCACCATAATGGCACATCTCCAAAAGCAAAACGCCAGAGCCTGCAAAGGAGACTGATGATAGAGATGCCACCAGCTGGAAGTTTCCGAAGATCAGGGTCCACAGGTAACGTAGGGGTCACCCCGCTACATGGGGAAACCTGCCCTCAAATGAAGTCAGTGGGAATGACTAAGCCAGGACAGTTCTCAGAAGCCCGCTCACAGAATGAAAGCACTCACTGAAACACAGAAAGCCTGACTCCCATAGGAATGCCTTTTCTTTTGCTTTCCCCAAAGACATCGCTCAAGATGAGCTCGAGTCAAACAGTCTGCCCAGCACAGCCTTGAGTCCCATATTAAATCACAATCTGACGCATATTCGAGCACAGTGTTACACACCGGCACACAGAATAAGGCATGGCACAAGCACAAACAACCTCAGACATGCTTTTTCTCTTTTAAGTGAAAAAAAAAAGAAAGAAAACTAGAGGGCAACAAAAAGCTTACCTTCTAAACGTGAGAAAAAAGAATAAAACAAACAAGAAAACAAAAAAGATGCATAAAGATGTCATAACAGGGAACTGAAAGCTGTCAAATATGCAAAATTAAGCAAAATTAAAATGATTTTACCAAACAGATTTAAAATACAGTCTTAGAACTTGTTCAAGAACTTCGTGCCTCTATTAACAAATCCATAACTTGGATAAGCTGACTAGTTTCTTCTGCATATTTAGATTCACTTTCTAGTTTGAGGCCCCCGTTTTGACCTTACCTCATAGGTGACCTGGAGGACAAAGAGCCGCCCTGGGCACCGAATGGAAGCCATACCACAAAATCCCCTCTTAGTCGGCTACCGGCCCGCTCGGTGGCCCTGGAGACCACCTCTGGGTCACACGTGGGCAAGCTGGGTGCTGGAGACAGTGTGTTTCTTGGGTTCCTACACGGAAAGTGTAAACCCAAGTATCTCTGTTCCTTCAAAATAGTCACTGGATAGGGAGAGGCAGACCAGAGCAGCAGCCACACAAAACTACTGCTGCTCGGCTCTGGAGGGAACCCACCAACCCTTTTGGAGTCCAAGAAGAAATTCTAGACTAAATTCTCAAGAGTGAAGGGACCCCTCACACTAACTGACAAATGTGAAAACTAATATTTTAATTAAGCTTTCCTGAGGAAAACTGGAATGATGAAGGCACGCACCTAGAAATGCCAAGTTTTCTCTGTAGATTTCTCTGGGTCAAAGGTTGGTTTAGGAAAAGTTTTCCATAAAAACCAGTCATAGATATATTACGTCTCTTAGTTACCTAGCAACAACCGCCCACATAAAAGGCAGGGCTCCCACCCCAGGGAGCACACACCACACCAGAATTCCTCCACAAACCCAATCACTGGGACTCTGGCCTGAGGGAAAAGAGACCTATTTCAGCCTTCAACCAGCTTTCACCCCACATACCTATTTATTGTTCTACCTAGGAACAAAGGAAATTTACAAAAGCAGCAAGTAACCCATGAAACAAAAGGGAAGAAGAAATTACTTTCATAATATCTGAGTAGTCCTATGTTACACATAGTTACAAGATAAAATGTGAGACAAACCCCCAGGAGGGGAGAATTTGGGCTTTTGCTCATTTCTCCTCCAATAAAACTTACCTTGCTGGCCCAGGCATCTTCATCCCAAGAAGTGAGTTGTAATACACGAATGATCTCATTAATTTCAGCACTCATCTTTTCTACAGTGTAGTTTCGATTTTTCAAAGCTTCTTCTATTCCTTGGCTTTTGGAGTTTTTAGTTGTTACAAAAATCTTCATAGCTGTAAAAAATAAACGAAAGATCAGAAACTGAGGTTGGAATTGAATTTTGCTGTACAACAATATTCACACAAAATGTTCCACCCCTTGAACACATGTTTTGGGCTTCTAAGATCTTACAAAAAAAAAGAAAGAAAGAAAGAAAGAAAACACAGCAAATCTGCCAATAAAGTTCCAATATCACAGCCTTTACTGTAATGAAAACTGAAGGTACAAAACATCACCACAACTTGATCAGGGAACTAATTTAACATGCACATGCTGATGACCTATAATCACAAAATACCCAATATCCTTCTAAATCAGCTGGCATCCCAGCCCAAGCACGGTCCCCAGCTAACACAAACCTAATGGGACAAGATGAAAACAGTTACTTAAAACTGTAACTAGAGAATGCTGCTGCCCCCAATACTAATGGGAGTTCAGTTTATCTTCCAGGATTTCTCTCAACATGTAGCAGAGACTTTCTAACCCCCAACAATGAAGAAGAAGAAATAATAATAATAGGAAGCATTGGAGGAAAAGAATTTTCTCCTATAAAATAATTAAAATTGTAAAAACAAAGACTAATCAACACTTTATTGAGTTACCCAGCTTAGAAATCCTCTTCCCAACAACCTTTCTGCCACATCAAACAGTTATTGGCCTCAAAAACATATTTCCATGGAGATTATAAGACTCTAATTACAAAGGTTTGTTTTCTAGTTCATGTAAGGGCTTTCTGAACTCTTACACTCGCATCTCCCTTTTAGCTTCTACTTGAAATGCCAAAGCAGGAAGGCAGTAGCCCGGGGTCACAGTGGCATGCCTCATAAAAAATTTTAAATAAAGCTGCCTTCTGAGAGTTAAACTAACTAACCCACAACTTGACTAAGATAACTTATATAACCTGCTAAGTACTAGCTGCTTGACAAGTACAGCTCTCTTGCTAGTTTAGAGAACAGTTGCCATGTTGCATTTCTGGACTCTGCCCAATGGGAAGGTGGCCCCAGGTGGCATAGACCACCAGCTCTATAATGTAAAGAAAAGTTAAATACTTTCAATTAAAAACAAAACAAAAAAACCTGTGTTAACCAACAATGAAAAGGCTCTGGGTTTACTTCCTTATCGTATAGTGCTCTATAATATCCAATCCATCTCCTAACTGCTTTATTGTAATACAAATAAAGATGTCAAAATCCAAACATCCAAGATTAGAGTTTCTAGAGAAGATTCCACCTCCCAGAAAAAGAGCTTCAGGAGAACAGAACTAGGCAACAGAAAGGGCAGTTTCAAACAAACGAAGAAAAGAAGAGCATTGGAGAAGAGGAATAATCAGCTGCAGCCTTCCGGTAATACCCAATCCATCGGGTCTCATTCTTCCCCAAGCAGAAGGACATGCAAATAAGCAGCAAAAGAAAACAAACATCAGAGTCTAGAATATGTTAAAATTTTTTCCCCATAAGATAAAGTATAGGCAGAAAATACCTGAAATGAGAACTGGCAGCAACTCTTTCACGGTGTTCATTGAGTTCACCAGCATCACTCGGTGCTCCTGGTGAGTCAGTTCCTGCTGCCTCTCATCAATCATCTTGGCCATTTTAGTCATTCCTGGGGCATAAGGAATAAGCAGGGTGAGCAGTGAAACAACCCAGAGTCTGGCTTTCTGAGCCTAAATCCACTACGAATTACTATGAAAGCTCACTTATTTAAACAACAGACACTACCGCTGAACTCTAGCGTTTATGGTAGAGAATTTTTTAAGACAGTTCTAACTTAATGCAACTTTATTTTTTTCATTAAAAGTAGTTTATTAAATGTAAAACTACATGTGACATAATTTTCACGTTTGGCATAAGTACATTCACAAAAATAAAAAGGTATTCAAGTGAATAAATATATATTTGTAAAAAATAGAGTCACCAGTTTGCCTGGCTACCATGTATGCAGGTTCACACCATGCATCTGCCCAGTGTGTCCATGTAGGTAAGAATCTCACGTGAGCCTGGTACTAAGAATCTAGTGACTGGAAAAAATCTTAAGAATTACAATAATGTATTTTGTTTTCATCTTTATGTTTTTCTGTACTTTCCAATTTGTCCAAAATAAGAATGTACTACCTTTACAATTAGAAATACAAATATTATAAAAATAATATTAGTGATGACAGCGTTTGGAAGCATCTGGTGTTTTGGAATCAGCCTGCTAGCACTTTCTGTTGACTTCAGGTATTATTCGAAGGTGATGTGACTCTAAGCTTTGATTTTTCAAGCTGTTCTCAAGATTTCTTAAATGGTTTCACAGCTTTTTAAAATATATATATATTTTATTGATTTTTTTACAGAGAGGAAGGAAGAGGGATAGAGAGTTAGAAACATCGATCAGCTGCCTCCTGCACACCCCCTACTGGGGATGTGCCTGCAACCAAGGTACATACCCTTGACCAGAATCGAACCTGGGACCCTTCAGTCCGCAGGCCGACGCTCTATCCACTGAGCCAAACCGGTTATGGCAGTTTCACAGCTTTTTAAGGGGTACCAAAGGAAGGTGGGAACGGTGGGGTGGAAAAGATGGGATAGCCCCTTCTTTATCCAGGGTAGCTCCATTTTTGTCTTTTATATGTTGGGATTCTGCAGAAGATTTCATTTGAAGGAATGAAACCTTTTTCCGGTGCTATGAGAAAGTTAAAAGAGGACTAAAGCCATCTCCTGGTGATCTTTTCAATGATGGCTCAGAGAAATTTTTAACTGCCATAAGCTCTCAGAATGACTGCACCAGAACCTCATGAAAATACTGCTAGTTAAAAATCATTTAACAGCCCTGGCCAGTGTGGCTCAGTTGGTTGCCACACCTAAAGGTTGCCAGTTTGATTCCCAGTCAGGGCACATGCTCAGGTTGTGGGCTCAATCCCAGGCAGGGGGCGTCCAGGAGGCAGCCCATCGATGTTTTACTCTCACATCAATGTTTCTCTCTCTCCCTCTCCCCTTCCCTCTCCCTCTCTCTTCCTCTCTCTCTAAAATCAAATTTAAAAATCATTTTACAGAAGATGCAAGAATTTTACAAGTTAAACATCAGATGTGTCTTGTCATTGGTCTCATTCACATTCCAAGAACCTTCAAGTTCATGTTTTATGTCTAAAACATCAAAAGCTGGTATCTGTTCATGTATTTTGAATATTCAATTCTCAGATGACTAAACAGTCATTTCAAAATGAGATTTAGCCACAGTAGCTCTTCTCTCCTTCTAGGTCTGATTACATTATGCAGCCTTGGGCTAGGGCATGAATTCATAATAGTAGGCGGGCTAATTAGCAAGCTAAGAGGTCATAAAGAGCTTCAGGCCAGCTGGCAGACAGTGAAGGAATGCTGTGTAGTGTGGAATTGAGAGGTCAGGGTTCAGGGTGGCCTTAAGCATTACAGCCGTAGAAAAGTATTTCCTACATTCTCCAGCAACATCTGCAATGTCTAGTTGAATTCATTAGACAGGGCCAGGATTTGTAGAAAGCAGATTCAGCTTTCAGAGACAATGATATCTACTCAATAGAAGCACAGTATTAGCTCCAACAACAAAGTACAGACACCTAAAAGCCTAATGCATCATTACCTATCTTTTGCAAAAAATAGGGTGGAGTGCCTTTTCCTCTTGATCAAACATGGACAATCCATAAAAATGTTAATATGAAAGTTGGATATGACTAACCTGGTCCAAGGTTCTTTGTGTAAGTGACCAAATCTTCCATAGTTTCTACCACCTCTGCCACTGTAAGATATTCCAAAATTCCTTTGCAAACTCTAATAATTTTACGAACCTGGAAATATATTTCAGAGTAGTCAACTGAGTGAACAATTAAGTAGAAAACAATAGTCATTCAGATGTGTAGCCATTCAACATTTTCTCATTCTAAGCAAGCATCAATCCTCCATTATTATCTTTAAGGCAAGGCTTCTGTCTGAAAGAAATCTGCATGGGCCTAAGATTGCCTACCTCAGCCTCATCGAAGGTGAGGAGCAGGTCCGATGTGCCGGAGAGGATGCCCCTCGACCCGTCAATTAAATAATCTCGAGCAGGCACTGAGTAAGGGTCTGACTGAAGCATCTGGGATGCCTGGACAAGCTTGGTGCAAGCATTTTCAACCCTGTGGGAAGGAATAGGGAGTCAGAATGAAGCAGAAGAATATCACATGCAAATAGAAAGAATATCACTGGCAAAATGAAGCAGAAGAATATCACATGTAAATACAAAGAATGTAAATGGATATAAATTCACATTTTTTTTCCACCTGGAAAACAGCCAAGACTATTTTATAATAGAAGTTTTTAGCTCACATATACATTAAGTGCAGCACAATCATTCGTTCATTATTCACTATACTAATTAAGCCTTGTTCTTTGATATTTCCTGGCAACAAAAATGATGAGAAAATGTTTCAGACCTTTTACTTCAGGTTGCTATATCTCTGTATCTCCTTTGTTTCCTTATTCCTCACCTATACACACTGCCATTAAAAGACACTACACCAAGAGCTGAAATCCTTGACAACAGTTTCAGATTTAGCATCTTAAAAAAATTTTTCAAAGCACTGTGTTAAGTGAAATTTAATAATCAGAAAAGTAAAGGAATAGGAGAAAACACAAAGAAAAGTTATGAGGTGATGCATAAATTTCTCATTCATCTAGCTATATGGATTTGTTTGACAAATCCACTGGGCTGTTTGAAAACAGCTCTAAAAAACTATGTTGTTAATTAAAATGTCATTGCCCTAGCTGGTTTTGCTCAGTGGATAGAGCGTCAGCCTGTGGACTGAAGGGTCCCAGGTTCGATTCCGGTTAAGAACACATGCAGGGTTGCGGACTTGATCTCCAGTAGAGGACATGCAGGAGACAGCCAATCAATGATTCTCTCTCATTACTGATGTTTCTATCTCTCCCTCTCCTGTCCTCTCTGAAATCAATAAAAAATATATTTAAAACATAAAATAAAATGTCATTGACATTAATAACTGAACGAGTTTTTAATAGCTTATTAATATAGCTTAATAAAATAGATGATCTGATCAGGCAAATGTAGAGTGTTTTTTTTGCGGGGGAGGAGAAGGGGTTCAATTAAAAGAAGAAACCAAAGTACATAAACGAAGTATTCTCCTTGACCCTCATGTACTACTAAAAGGTATTCATTCATTCTCCCATCCATTCAGAGTTGAAAAGGATCTGATAGATCATCTCTTCTAATCTCATGTCCAATAAACCCATTATGTTATCATTTTACAACTTAAAAAGATATGGAACAAGTCTCTTAAAGTTAAAATATTTAGTCAAAATTATACATTCTTATTTGGAAACATAGAAAATGTGACATGCAAATAAAAGCCCACTCACAGGGTTGTCTTGAGGATCAAATGAAATCATGTAAAATTCCACAAGTATAAAAATAATAAATTAAACCAACACATGAATGTCAACTACATAAAAAGCACTGAGCTATGGACTCTATAGGTATGCATAGTTAATATACAAAAAAAACCCCACTACTGTGACTCTCAAAATGCATACTTTACTAAGTCACAAACATTAGAGCCATGAGGCAATACGTAATAAAGATCAGTGAATTGAGGTGGCTTTTAAATCACTCTTAAAGAGATCTGGTTGTTTACTGTTCCTCTTTCATTTTTAAATTAAAATGTTTAGTAATTTTAAATTACCTAATAGGTATGTTCACATACATAACACAAACACATATATAAAAATAAAAGGGCATACAGTGAAAAATCCTCCCTCCACTAGCTAACCTCCTAGGCATTCTAATTCCACCTACTTGCAACCAATATTAAGAGTTTTCTCTGTATTCTCCAAAAAAAGATACTTTATGCATACAGAAACAAAAATATAGGCACCCACCTTTTTTACACAAACAATATCATACTACACAAACTCTCTGCAGTGGACATATCCTTATAAAAATACATAAAAAGCCTCCTCATTCTTTTATACAGCTATATAAGTAGTCCATAATTTATTAGCCTACTGCAATGAATCTCCTTGGATACATATCATTTTTAAATATATAGATCTGTAGTAGACAGTCTAGAAATGGAATCACTAAGTCAAAAGTATAGACTTTTAGTTTTGACAAATGCCATATTGCCATCACAGAAGTTATTCATTTACATTCCTAGCACAGTGGATTAGAGTGCCTGTTTCCTCACAGTGTCAATCACATAGTGTGTAATAAAAGCAATATATCCTCATCAATATGCAAGACCAAAACAGAATCTCAATATAAATTCACATAACACATAATTGTCGTTTTAAAGGGTACATTCAGTGGCACTGAG